GCTGGTCCTGCAGTAGATCTATATAAACGATTGGCGTATATCCCTTGTAAGGCAATCCTGGCCTGTGTATGTAGATAACTGAGTAATGACTGTAAGCGGTGAGTTTCATATAAGCGAGGGGATCCCTAGTTCTGACACTACCCTTGTAAAGTCCTTTCTTCCTTCTTCAGCTTAGAATAGTCAATCGACGGCACCTCTACGTTGAACAAGCCTAGGGGCCAGCCCCTTACACTGCTAGGCAATATATCCTGCAAGCTGTAGGTCTTGTATGCCTCAAACACTGCAACCTCACCAATTTAGTTAGAGTCGCATGGGCCGCCACCAGTTTTCCTCAAGCTGAACTCGGGTGCAGAGGGTGACCGCGGTAAATATTGGGCTGCCCAGCACGCAAATACGAGAAGCCGCTGATGGTATGGAGTTTCCGACTGGTCATTGGGCAAGAATCAAGACCCTGTTCATTCCGATCAAGAGAGAAAGGCATTGCGGAAGGATAAATATCAGCAAATACTGCAATGCAATTTTTGCACATCCTCATTGTCCTAATTATCATAAATCTTTTACATGACTAGTTCCGAGCAACCTGCCTTCTTGCTAGGTACCTACAAGTAGCTACTATACCCACCTTCCACCCATTCAAAGAGTTATCTTTGGGCGCAGAAACGGCTGGATTAGATATGTTTACGATCCAAAGGCTTTATAAACGGAAACCTGGAAGGCGGTTGACGAAAGTATTTGGGCACATTGTGACCCATTTTCTCCCATTGAAGTTTCTTGAAACCAGGTATAGTGATTGCCGATTTGCATAAACCCAATGGCCTCAAACATAGCTATTGCAGGGCTTTTCGTGAACCGTCTCGTGGACGTAACCTGAACAGCTCTGTTCGGTAGTGTGTTTTTAGAGAACATTTTCAGACTCAATGATGATGGCCAGACGAACCCAAATCACGCAGAAGCAACATCAAAGGGTACTTGCTGAGTGCATTAATCCTCTATGTCTACCAGAACCAAGTCTCACATCATGAAGGCTTCTAGACCTCCGCGATTAATCTAGGCTCACAAGTCTACCATGGCATTTTAGCATGAACCAAGCCTCGCCCGATCACAGTGTCTTCTCTCGGAGCGTTAAAAGAGGCAAAACGGACGGTAGATGCGCAGGGCCGGTAAGGATGGCATCTAAAAAGACTTTTGCCACGCACGCGGCGAAGAATGTATTATTGTCACTTTTATGGCCAGATCACCAAGGCACTGGCCGTGATGCCTTGTGTATTAAGACTGCCACTGTACTAAATGATATGGTTCTAGAAATGACTAATAAAATAATATATGTCATTCAGAGGTCATTAGAGTACGTTAGTTTCAGTTGCAACGGAATCTGGTTTGAATTTGAGCGGAGGTGCACCAAAGTTTACCATAGAAACTTTGTGCGCCACTCGTCTTCTCTCTTCTACAAAGGTGACACTTGGCTAAAGCGTGAGTGGTTCGCCTCATTCACCAAAATTAAATTTCATAGAAAGAGAGAGTCGCATAAGGTTGTTTTTCTAAATATGGGTGGCAATATCTTGGGCGGTATGATTTCTATAAAATGTCCGTTCTTTCCAGAGTCTTAGGACATATTCAGTTCCCCTACAACCCGCTATTCTCCTTCTCTTTCACCCCACCTCAAAACATAATGGTATCCCAAGATCTATTGCTAGCCCTGCATTTGATTCTGTATGAGGTAAAGTACTGCTTGTGGAGGGCGGGTTCTGAGTCTCATCGCTGGGGCTTCTATCTCTATCGGATAACCTACGATAACTAAGCACTTTGGGAACGATACCTCGAACACATCTACGGGTGTATCGATGCTGTGCTCAATTTCGAGACAGAATTCGATAAACAACGTTTAAAGCGACACTTCCGTCTCACCGTTATTGAAGACCTAACCCTCGACAATGCACCCGTCGAGCTAGTCCGGCAAAGATTCTGGACGTGGGTTTCAGATCTTCCACCTGAAGGTGACCAGCAGCAGGATGTACCTCCTATCGAGCACCGCGATCCCGTCCTTTTCAGCTACCCGTTATATGTGGACACCGAGTGCCTTGAGTCTTTGCTGGCCTACGAGAAGGCGGTAGAAGACGGTCAACATGAGGATGACGCGTCTGACCTTGTCTTCGTGAAGGCAATCAACGCCGAGCAGCCGTGGGCTAGAAACGATAGCGAAGATGAGGAAGAAGATATGGACGAAGAAAAAAATAACGACCAGCACAGCGGTAACAACGATGTGCAAAAGGATAATCAGCATGGCCCGGGATACTACTGGATGCTCGTAACATGCACTTACCTGGGCGGTTACTGGGAGCAGATGGGGCTCGGTTGCCAATTGCACAGGCAGTTCTCGTCATGCAGGTACCCACAAAAGCAACGCTGGGAGTCTTCGTAGAAACAGCTATGTGGGTTTTAGTCTCGGGTAAACACGTCTTGCCGATGATGAATAGAGCATCATCATCCAGTTTTCATGTGTGATCCGCCATGGACGCTTGTCGGTAACAGTTACTTCAACCACCTTGGGGCTATCACTTCATGGTCAAGGATCCACACATTCATTGCAGCACTGCATGTCAACCCGCAGCAGAGAGATATCATGTCTATCCAGCCATTGGCATTCACGACATCCTTCACAAGCTGTGTATGGCTGGTATCGAGACTTTGGTCGAGGACGAGGTCTGCAACGAGGATACTTGAGTCACGAGGAAATACGTGTGCAAGGTGTTTGTGAGGCAAATACAGCACCAACATAAAAATCCGAAACTCTTCAAACTTGGACTCAAATTTCTATGAATATTTATTCAGGCAGCCTACGTACGGTCTTGCACGACTTGGAGGGATGCAGCAAACCACAAGGCTCAAACGCGCCCACATAAAAAGCCCTGATAATGCCGACAACCATCAGTAGGTGTATTTATGTTGAGCAATCACACCTGTTATTCCTATCCTTATCATAACCCACTTTCTCTTCGATGATAAACTTGCGATTGTTATTCTGGCGGCATCACGAGGATATCCAAATGACCTGTAGAGCTCATGCTTTCTCCTGTGACAAGGACCTTTGGGGTAGCTCACGGTAACTGCCGGTTCTAAGATTGTGGCGTTGTTGATGGAGGTGTCCGGTGCAACAGGAATGCAGGCGTCGGGAAATGAGGGGAGGATTGTCGCAAACGTTCAATCCTGGGGTAATCTCTCTCCCAAGCAAATTAAAAGGCGTGGTCATACGCTGAGCTTTAAATGCCGATATTCTTCTCGAGGATGCTAACACACAAAGATGGCGTTATCAAAAATTCCTCTTGGGGTAATTGTGATTACACAGCCAACACGTTGCTGACGGCGGGCGATGTGAAACCATGGTGGAGGAGCGTCTGGATCTACTCTGTCATCCGTGCCCGGCATCCCCTGCCCCTTCTTGCAGATTATGCTAACGGGATTTCTGCTTCTGGGCGCCTCTGACCACAGACGTGGAATCTGAAACCAGCTCAACCCGCGCCCAAGCTTTGGTTCCCAATAGATTGGATGAGAAGGCTTAGCTTCATTGACTTTGGGCTGTTCAGACGACAGCTCCGCTAAAAAGCAACCTTGAAACTAGTGTATTACGATGGGTTTCCTGACCTACAGAATGTGTAGAGGCCAGAATATCCCGCGGCGTATCTGATCAGACCGCCGCTCACAAATATAAATGCGCTTCTAGCTTCTTTGCAGACTCTTCGCATTTGAACCAGGTTTCCATTCGTCTTTCATTTAATCCTTCAGTCATTCATTTCTGTCGTTGATAGCTGGCCTGTCCACACGTATTATAGATCTTCTAAACCTTTTTGAAATCACTCATTTAGTTTGAAATCACTTCATTTTTTTATTCATGCCATCATGCATTACTCGTTTCTTCTTGTACTAGCGATCATTACGGTCGGCTATGCGGCTATTCTGCCTAGTTCTTCAGCAAGCGGCGACATTGGGATGGTCGTGGCAAGACAGTCGAAGTCAGCGTCGGAAAACTGTCTGAAGACCAACTTGATTCAAAGCGCAAGTGCTTTGACCGGCCAAGAAAAGGGTACAGACGGAATCAAAGCAGGGCAGGCAAAGTCAGCAACGTAAGTAAAGCTTCACTTCTATAATGCGTCGCTGAACTGACTTTTCATGATAGAGATAAAGACAATTTCATCAACTTCTGCGAGGGCCAGCAAATCACCAACGGCAAGCAAATCACGGCAGGCTCTTGCAATGGTATCCCGATGGGCAAGCTCCCCGCCCAGAAAAACATGATCTCGGCCATGATTACGAATCCGCAGCCTGGTACCAAACTTCAAGCTGGCCAAACGTTCAATGTTTCTGTGCAAACGACGCATCTAAAGGCTGGTAACTTTGTCAACCCGACGACCAATTACTATACCGCGCCGCAGGATCTCGACGGTAACGGAGACATCATTGGCCACTGCCATATCACTATTCAAGACATCGGCTCTCTCACGTCTCAGACTCCGCCAGATCCGTCCAAGTTTGCATTCTTCAAAGGTATTGACGATGCGGGAAACGGCAAAGGGCTTCTCCAAGCTGCGGTCGAGGGTGGCCTTCCAGCGGGCACGTACCGTGTGTGCACCATGATCGCGGCCCAAAACCACCAGCCTGTCGCTATGCCGGTGGCTCAGCGCGGCGCACAGGACGACTGCACCAAGTTTGTGGTTGAAGGATCCTCGAATGGCGGGAGCAAAACGGGTGCAGCCAAACCGACGGCTAGCGCTAAGCCGAAGAAGAAGCAAGGATAGTTTCGTACCAACATTGGAGAGCAAGATCTCCTGCTGCTTGAGATCGAAGAGCTTGGTTCTTGCAGAGTGGATGGCTATAGAAAGTAATCAAGAAATGCTAAAACTCACGAATGAGAGATCCATGAGAGATCCAAATACATTTTCGTATATCACTTTACTGCCCGCAGGTACACCTTTTGTGCTACTGAGCATTGGGGGCCATCAGGGAAGCACAGGGAATTCTGATCTCTAGAAACTTGGCCGTGTGCTCTTCATATCAATACATGCAATTGCCGCGGGCAGAACGGCTCAGCTCCAAATTTAATACGTCCGTGCAGCTCATTGTGTCACGTCGAGGATCGTTGGGATTATACAAGCATACGTTTACATCATAATACATCGACAAGTATAGGGCAGGTCTCCACGTCTGAGGAATGGATTTAGACAACCTCTGAACTCAAGTAAAGGCTGTTGATTATTCTCAACATCGATCATGACGGCGTTGCGGGTAATGTTGTGTTGGAAGCTGACGAGGAAATCAATTGTGATAGCAGCCGGTCTGATGTACAGTTTTTTGGCTCAGAAAATGACCTAGTATTACAAAGGAGGCCATACACGAAGGAAATCACGCGCTTTTAAATAGGCGCAGTCGTCCAGAAACCCAGTCTTACTGAGGGCAAGGTTGACAATCATCAAAGAACTTTGATGGGAACGTTCTTTACAAGTTTACATGCACTATGTTGCTTTTAACTGCGCCTGGTAGCCTACAAGTGAATGTACCTATGCATCAACCAGCAATGAGGCTCGATCGCCTCGGAAGGAATATAAACATGCCGGGTGCCGTCGTACACTCTATGCTTCCACCATTTTTCATCCGACGCATCTTGACAAGAACTTTTGACTCCTCTGTATCAATAGGTACCATCACAGGGGTTATTGCATGCATTAGTGCTGACTGCTTACTTGGACTGATTTATGTCTCCACCGATAATCCCCCTCATTCCACAATGTTGGCCGCAACCCCTCAATTTCTTTTTCTCCCACCTGCAGCTACATACAACACTCCGTGATCTTCATAGCCCTCCAGCTCAGTCAAAACAATACCCAACTATCTAAAAATGGCTTCACAATTTGTTCTTTTCGATATCCCTGACAAGAATGGCAGAGCGTGGTCATTTAACACTTGGAAAAGTATGAAAAGCATGTGCTCAATACGACGCTTTGCTGACGCCAAACAGCTCGCCTGGCTCTCAACTACAAAGGCGTTGATTACAAGACCGAGTGGCTTGAGTATCCCGAAATCGGGCCACGATTGAAAGCTGCGGGGGTTGAAGGAGATTCTGAACAGTACACACCATATACCTGCCCTACGGTGCAGTTTCCCGATGGGACCTATGTCATGGACAGCGCAAAAATCGCCAAACGTCTCGAAGAAGAGTATCCTGAGAGGCCCCTAGATCCCGAAAATGATTTAGCGCAGGCTGCTTCTCAATTCCAGCGCAAGATTTGGGGTCCACTGCAGCCCGTCTTGATGCCCGAAGTTTACCGAACGATACTTGGCGAACGCAGCAAGCCTTTCTTCTGGGATACTCGGAAGAAGGATTTGGGTGGCATGACGATCTACGAATTTGAGAACGACTACGGCGGCGAGAAGGCTTGGGAGAAGGTCAAGCTGCCCCTTCAAGAGGTATCTGCTCTGCTCAACAAGACGGAAGGGCCCTTCTTCCAGGGCAGCCAGGGTAAGTTACTGTCTTCTGGTCTTAGACTGAGGTCTAATGAGATCCCAGTGTCATATGCCGACTTCATCTTGGTGGGCTTTCTTGAATTTGTCAAGAAGTACGCATTTCAGCACTACCAGAGAATAATTGGGCTGTCCAATGGGCTAGACAAGTTGCATGAGGCTTGTCTTCCATGGTTAGAACGAGACGACTGATAGATTCCAGCGACACCATGCCTCTCGACCTAGCCTGTGGTGTTGTTAGGCATATGCAACATTTTGCGAATAAACATACCTCCGGCCTACAGTGATTCCCACCGTATGTAGATACGGAAAATGCAAGTATATGAGGATGAAGGATTGAACCTCCATTCGGAGGGGAGGAATACGGCACTTCATGACCTTCAGATCTGACTAAACTTTGCCACAACCCCTAGAGGTGTTGCGGCTCCAAAGGCCCCCAAAGTGGCGTGTATATACGTCATTTTGTATGAGTATCCTATAAATTTGTTATGACACTATGCTTTTCAAACTTTGATTCTTGTTCCGTTTCTTCGCAAACATCTCAATCTGCTTTTTCAATCGATTGGAACCTAGTCTCCCAAGGTCCAGTTTCCCCAACCCCTATTCACACCATGTCGTCAGACAATCCATACCCTCCCTATGGCTCCTCTCTTAGAGAAGCAAAATTGCAACTCTGGAGGCAGGGATCTGGTTCTTATTGCTGGGGCTTTTATGTTTACCGAACTACGTACGACGATCAGGAACTTTGGGAGCGATACCTCACCTACATATCTCAATGCATCGACAACACGCTTAAATTTCAATCAAAGTTCGACAGAGAGCGCTTGAGACGGCATTTTCGCCTTACGATCATCGCAGACCCGTCGCTCGCAAGCGTATCTCCTGAATATGTTCGGCAAAAGTTCATGAAGTGGGTATCGAGTCTCCCTCCTCGCGGAGACCAACCTGGCGGAGACCAACAGGGAGAGGTACCACCGGAAGATCACCGGGATCCCATTCGTTTCGCTTATCCTCTATACGTGGACTCTGAGTGTCTCAATTCCTTGCTGGCTCATGACAAGGAACTCGAAAAGACTGGTTATGAGTTTGCAGCACACCGACTTGTTTTCATAAAAGCAATCAACGCCGAACAGCCACAAGTCCACAGCGGCGCCGAAGTCGAAGACGATGACGAGGATGAGGAAGCAGATGAGAGTGAGAAGAATGATGACGAAGAAAAAGAAGACGACGAGAACAATGGCCATGAAGAGGTTACAGATGATCCAGATTTTTATTGGATGCTCGTGACTTGCAGATACCTTGGCGTCTACTGGGAAATAATGGGCCTCGGTGGTCAGTGGGAGCGACAGTCCTCATCCTTCAGACACCCTCAGAAGCGACCTTGGAAAGAGATCTAGGCCGAGATCTCTTTGGTCTTTGCTGAGAAAGTTGGACACCGGAGCTCAGAAGAGCTCATTAGCGACGCTCACGGTCAAAAAGAAGACAGAAAGAACAAGCGTTGGCGGTACCCGCTTCTCAATAATTAAAAACTTGACTGATTTCTTTTTGACGAACATTCCAGGCTAGAAATTGTGATATGAAATGACCTAGTTCAAAGCGTGGTATATAAACACGTAGCCCACCATAGATTTGCTCATACAATGTCATGTTTAGACCACGTTTAACATAGGTGAACTGGGAAGGCGGTAAAACACAGACTCAGCATCTTAGTTGGCACTGCCAGCAAGAACGTTTGTGAAACTGGGAAGTTTGTGAACTGCACGTGGCGTCCAAATCCCCCTCGACGTCATCAAAGTAATCAATGTCCGCAATATGTTCATAAGCAATAACAGTTGCCCCGAATACTTTGCGATGCGAAGTTGCCTCCTCATCGACGGAGTAAAATACAACTTGGTCTTTTGTCAGCCAAGCTTGAAGTTTTGTCCGTTTCATAACTGCCTTCCACAACAGAAAGTAAGTCCTGTTTGAGCCCGCCCAGTGATACATACTCTAGCACAGAAAGAGCGATATGCCGATGCACCATTTCTCAATTGCTTCTGGATTGCTTCTATTTCAGAAAAGCTCACAGAAGTCGGTGCAAAATAGGAGGAAATTTTGAGAATAACATTACCTCTGACTCCCACGGACGTGTGACTGGAAGGAACACTTTGAGTGGGCTCCGAGAGCTAAAATAGAATTGAAACGGTTCGACTGCCGAATTTGCCAAGAACCTGAAATCAAATCTGAATTGAAGTGAGTGGAAACCAATGAGATAAATACAGAGTAACAGCCGCGAGCAAAACAGCTGTCAAATAGCTTGGTCGCATGAGGTCAAGCCGAGCTGTAGTCTTGAATAGATTGTACGTCAGCAGCGCATGGCTAGTCGAGACCCTGCGAAAATCGCCAACCGAAGCTCCCATCCCTGGCGAAAACTGTCACGGAGATTTTGAAGAAACAGGCAAAACGGCCGACAGTGAACCACCCGCCGCGTGCTCGAAAGCTGGCTGCACTGCAAAAGAAGTCGGCCTCTGCGTCCGATCCCATCCTGGCGCACGTCAACTTGGCGCGCGGGATGCCAAGTCAATTCCAGGCACGAGGCCAGAAATTAGCCCAGAAACAACCCATTTTTGGGGTCTTGCGGTCTGTGGTGCCTGTGAGAGGTAAATTCAAACCGTCTGGGGAGACCGTGGGTTAGAAATAGATATGGTTGTCTGGGGTTAACAGTGATTGTGGGGCTGAAGTCGCCTTAACGCCGTCTGATAAGTTCCAAATCGCTGGCCGATCCGGGGTGTGGTGGCTTGCGCATGAACGACAGCGGGAGAGCAGCGATATTGCCGAGTCAGTAATCCTAAACAACCCCTTAGCCGATACGCAGACACGCGAGAACGAGGTCTACATAGCATTCAGACCCAGTTTCGAGGGCCAAAAAATCAGGGGTCGCTCAGGAACTCAGCCCTCTTGGTTGATTCCCGGCCGACAGGCCGGAATGTCGGAATGGTTCACGTCAAAGATGCGACCCCGGGGACCCACTCGGCCATCAGCTTCGGCAGCTTTTTATGGGATGGCAGCCTTGAATAAGCCATCTACTTGGTAAGCGACTAAGCTTAACAGTGACGACTAAGATAGGAGAACCCTCATGACAGTAGTGCAATTGGATGCTGAAAATAGCGGGCTTCCATGTTGTTGATCCACATATCCCACCGGTAGGGTTCACTCACTTAGACTTAGAATAGAGGTAGAGATCGAACTAGACGAACCATCTAACCGAGGGGAAATAGGTAATAATGGCCATGATATATGATTCCATCAGATTTGAAATGACATAGGTTATAAAGTCTTTGGAAATCCCGTTAGACTGGAGAGTTCTGGATCATCCACCCATCTTATTCTCCTAAGGTCATCAAGCGCAAGCGCATTTACTACCTTCGCTTTCCCTTCTCTGCTTTTTTCTCCCCTTTCTTCTTGATGAAGCTGGCCAACATGTCGACAAAACAGGTTTTGTCAGTTATTGCTCTTCTTGCCAGCTACGGCCTGGCGACCCCGGCCCCCTTCCCAGCCAGGGGTAACCACCACGCCCCCGAAGGCTTCAAGCCGGGCTCCGGCTTTCGACCCTCCGGTGCCGTCCCATCAGTGCCCACAAGTACCCCCGATCCCGTTACTCCCGATCCCGCCTCGAACCCTCTCCAGCCCGCAGCGAGCGGCACCCCAGGCAAGGGCAACAGCACCGGCGGCGGCCCCACCCTACCCGCCGGCTACAAGAAGATCGTCTTCCAGGACGACTTCTCGACACAGAAGGCCGGCGCTCTACCCGATTCAGCAAAGTGGAAGTTCGACCTCGGCACGAGTTACCCCGGCGGCGCTGCGAACTGGGGCACGCAGGAGATCCAGACGTACACCAAGGACCCCAAGAACATCGGCATCACCTCCAGCGGCACGCTGGCAATCACGCCTATCAAGAGCGGCGAGTCCTGGACGTCGTCCCGTATTGAGACCACCGCCGCGCAGGACTTCAAGTGCCCCGAGGGCGGCAAGCTGCGCATGGAGGCGAGCATCAAGGTCCCGGCCTCGGATCCCGCAACGCAAGCCGGCATCTGGCCCGCCTTCTGGTCCATGGGATCCTCCTTCCGCGAGAACGTCACCTCCTGGCCCAGTGTCGGCGAGATCGACATGCTCGAAGTGTCCAACGGCGTCGGCACTGTGTTCCAGACCGCCCACTGCGGTGTCATCGACGGCGGCCCGTGTAACGAGAAGACTGGTATCAGCTCCAGCGCCGAGTTCCCCCGTGGGCAGTTTGTGAAGGTTGCGTGTGAGGTGGACCGCTCCGCGGGCGGCAGCTTCCAGCAGGAGAAGCTGGTGTGGTACGTCAACGACAAGCCGACCCAGACGGTCACCGGCCAGCAGATCGGCGATGCGACGTACTGGAATAACCTGGCTCGCACACCCAAGATGATCTTGCTTAACGTTGCCATCGGTGGCGAGTTCCCCGATGCCAAGGCTGGTACCAAGACACCCAATGCGCAGACTGTCGGCGGCGAGAAGTCCATGATGGAAGTCAAGTATGTTGCTGTTTACAGCACATAAGACGATTCGCCGAGATTTTTCTTCCTCTCGACATTTACCTTCAATTCTTATATTTCTCTCACGAGATTAGGGGATCGGCTTTGGTTCAACGAGTTGGACGTGTATGATTGAGTTTGAGCGAGCACGGACTGGCCTGCATGGAGTTCATTAGCATTTCTCTGCACTTGTACATAAGCCATACCAGAATATAAGGATATAAGCACGTTACCTTCTCAAGTCTTTTTGACGTTCTTGAATAGCCTTTCCCATTTGGCTACGCCTTCTCGCTCGACATGCCCTTGAATCGCTGAAAGGCAAAAAGAGGCCAATGTATTCGTAACAAACGATTCGCCCGCTAGGTTCACCCGTTGACATGTTCGCCTGGGATTACAGTCAAGACAAGATCCTGACAGAGTTGAATCGTCACTCGGCAGTCATCACTACAGTCGGGAGGAGAGCAAATCTAGTCGCGTGGATGCAAATGGAGCTACCGATGAAGTTCAACATTAAATCACATTGTAGGCGGGACAAATTTGTTTGAACAAGGTAAATAGTCTTGTTTGTGCCACTCAATGGGGCGTAAATCGCAGAAGTACGCGAGAATATTATGTACAAAGAACTTCTAATATGTACCTGAAAGATACACGTCCTATATCTTTACTCCTCTAAACAGCGGACCGAAGTCGACGCTGCTTAGTACTGGGCGGCGCGGCGGGCCTTGCGGGCAGCACGGCGGCGCTTGCAGCCGGTGCTGGGGGCAGTGGGGATAGCAGCAGCGGCAGAGGTGGTGGAAGGAGCAGCAGCGGAGGGAGCGGCGGCAGCGGAGGTGACGAGGGTGGTGGGGGCAGCGCTGGAGGGGGCGGCAGCGGCAGGAGCGGAAGAGGCGGGGGCGCTGGTGGCAGCAGGGGCGGAGGCGGCGGCGGAAGAAGCGGGAGCAGAGCCGGAGCCGGAGCCGGAAGAGCCAGAGCCGTAGACAGCGGGGCCCGGGATGACGCTGGAGACAATGTTAGTTGCCATTTCAAATCAACCACGCCATTTCATGTACTTACTAGTTGGTGATGGTGTTGTAGATGTTGATCAACAGACCGGGGTCAGTGGCCTTGTAGGCACCAGGGAACGAGACACCCTCAGGCTTAGCAGAACCGGTACCCTCGACCTTGATCTGGTAGCAAGACATGTAGTACTGAGCACCACCCTCAGAGCCAGCGGCGTGGAGAGCGACGGTCTCGGCACGGAGGAGGTAGTCACCGGGGGCGATGTCGGAGGGGATGACGAAGTTCTGCTTGCCGCAGCCCTCGTTGATGAGGTCGTTACCCCAGGTGTTGTTGTTGGCGAAGTAGCCGGACTCGAAGACCTTGAAGAAGGAGCTGGAGCCGTCGGCGGCAGCGGCGTCCTCAACGGAGGAGAGGTAGATCATGACGGGGCCGTGGTGGGCACCGCCGATGGCCTCCTCGGAGCAGGCACGGGTGTTGTGCTGGTGCATCTCGACGGTGATGGTGTCACCGGCCTTGACACCGCAGGTGGTGGAGGCGGCGGCGGAGCCGGCGTTGCAGCGCATGTCGTTGGAGGTGACGTCGGTCACGGGGGAGTTGGAGGCGGGCATGCGGACGCAGGTGGACTCCTTGTCCTCGCCATTGACCCAGAGTTGCTGGAAGATGGCGTGGCCGGCAACCATGTTGGCCATGGAGGCGGTGAGGGCGAGAGCAGCGATGGACTTCATCTTGACGGTTGGTGGAGGTTTTGGTAAAAAGAAGGACGGTGATTCCGGGCGTTAGAAGCGATGTGCACACAAAGGTGAAAATGAGTGAAGTGACGCCGGCGTCGAGCTGTAGAGAATGACTGAAAGTAATGAGTGGACAGATGAGTGACTGTTCTGTTGGAGAAGGGAACGAGATAGAGTTCCTGGTGGTGAGACAGAACTCTACTCATATATGTGTGCCTCTTACACGCCGTTTCTCTTCTCCTCCCTCGCCCGTCACCCCACCTTCGGATAGGTCATGCCAGTTCAGACCTGCCAAGCCTAAACTATGGAAAGGGGCAGGCGTGATCCCGTCCCAGTACCCACGATGCCGCCTCATCGGTTCGATGTTACCCAGTCACGATCCAGGATCTCGCCATGGGCGTTAATCTCTGGTGAGCACAGGCAAGGATGGCTCGCGAGACTCTCGAGAGAACCGCTACCGCCTCCGAACAACCTGGCCGCAGTCTGGCTCGCGGCGAGAACCGCGATTGGAGCAATAATCTTGAAAGGGGTTAACGTTGTGGGGAAGCCGTTGTTGTGTCTAAATTGCGGGATACGTGCCTTGCAGCTTGGCAGGCGGGTGATGTGCTCAGTTCGGTTTGGTCGAAGGGCCATGCTACGGCCCTGCGGTTTTTTTCCTCGCATCCCTATGGTTGGCCCTTCTTTGGGAAGCAAGCCGTCCCGACTCGACCCCAAAAGACCCCAAGCTTAATTTAACCCCTTGACGGGCCACCTGCTTGCGCTCAACCGAGCCAACCACCAACGGCGACCCCAGTCTGCGGCCCCTCCAGCTCACGGGTTGCTCGTCCGAACCTGAAACACAAACAGCATCTTGCCCCTGGCGCTACTGAGTCTGATAGATAAGGTCAGCAACGCGTGTTAGTGATGCTGTGGACGTTCTCAAAGAGAGTTCTGGAGCTATCCGCGAATTTTGCGATGGTTTCTGCGGTGGTTCGGATCGTCCGCTGGTGAGCAATCTATTTGCCTTGGCCCCGTCGTTGTGAAGTGCAAACCTTAGAATCTCCAGATCTTCCCGCCCGAGCTTTGCGAGGTTCGCCAAGGGTCTCCACATCCTGGACGGTTTTTGCTGTCAACACTGAGCTTGAATGATTCCGATTGGCCCAGAGGCGCTCATTGATCATCCTCCTCGACAGGGATGCTGGTCGATGGATTGTGTCAGCCAAAGTGGCCCGCGAGGGGCCTTGCCTGCTGGGATTGAACCGCCCACGAGCGGGAGCCACCACGGTACACGTGCGTTACGAGTAAAGGAGTCGGAAAGGCCCCATTGAGGTTCTCACCACAGCCGCTCTTGACTCAATATGCTTGCTCTCGCGCTTCTCCGTTGTGGCTTTCCCTTCTCGATTGAGCGGCAAACCGTCTGAATTCAGCCGTCGAAAACGCATTGGCCTACTCTTCTTGCTCCCTTGTCGTCCGAACTTCGCGAGCCCATAATGTTCGTCGAGGGAGGATCGCCTGCGTCCTCGGCTCATTCAGTTGAGATATGTGGAGAGTGGACAGCATCATTTCCGAGTGAAACGAGCCTAGAGATCTTGGGCGACTAAATTTTTCTTCTGCTTATCCACGGTTGCCACGAAGCAAAAAGACGAGACTCAAGAGGCACAGCGGGACAAGGGCTTGTGCACGACTGACCGCTGCCTGGGTTTAATCAGCTTGAAACTCGAACTTTGGCTCGGCATGGATGAAGGATGCAGCATTACTAAGGGATGTATGAACACCAAGAGTCAGGGCGGCTTGATGCCGCAGCGAAAAAGAAATAAGACCAATTATTGTTTCTATGCAAGCGCGGGACGTTATTATCCATACGTCATTCACACTTGCAACTGATTGTTGCAGTCAATTGTCACTGAATCGCAGGTCGAGCCGAGTTTTTTCGCGACCAGCGACTCGCGAGCCCAGGCGACGGCGATCATGGCACGGAGATTGGACGACCAGCCGCTGTCGGGGGATCGACTGAAAGCGATCCTCCGGGTAGGCGAAAGCCCCTGCATCTTATTACCCGGTCTTATCCTTGGTTGCATCCGTCGATGAATGGCAAGATATCTCTCCCAACCGCCAACCAGTGTCTTGGTTTATTATGAAAATCACACTCATAGTTGGGAGTGTCGGCACGAAAATCCGAAAGAACCATGGCACGCCACAGGACACAAAAAATAAGCTTGAAGTAGGATAGGTGAGTTTAGCTCCTCATTCTAAACCATTCTGGGTGAGACACATTGACCCACTTGGCCTGAGAAAACTTCTGGAACCAGTGGGCTCTTCCACCTCCAGCATCATCTCCCTGTATTGTTGATAAAGGCATCTTCGCCCACTATCCGCTATCTTCGTGAAATTCTTGCTTCATGCGAGAATTGTTTATTGCGCTTCGCCTCTGTATTGCCAATAGTTTCCGATTTTTCCCTTGTCCATGTCAACGGAGAATCTGAACCGAGAAGCTTGGCTTCAATGTTGTAATTTGCGATGCTGGTGGACTCGTGGCTAACGCATCCACATAGAGCTTCGAGCATGTGTCGCGGCACGTGTAAAAGTCTTGGTTGTCGGTGGGTTTCAGGGCTATCGTCCCTTTAACAATGTGGAAGAAATTGTCTCCCAGGTTTGTTACTTATGCATGTTTCCGTCTGAACACTGCCGTGGCTTCTACGGCAAAGTCAAGGTGAAGCCATTCGCGAGGAAACCCTTGTAAAGCATCAGAAGAACGCTACCACCGACAATCGGATAGGCTCTCGTTCCACGCGCGTGTGTTGCTCTGTCCTTTTCTCCTTGATTTGTTCCCAGATTCAGTTTCACCGCTGATCGGTAACAGTCATGACTTGCGGCAGAGGCGCGGGGGCGTTGCGCATCTCGACAGCAACCCTGGTGTCGTGAATGCGTCTATCGAACTGCTTGAAGTCGAAAACTCCCTCGAGTTCACGTCTGATGGTGGCCAGATGTTCGTGCGCTTTAAGGATCTCATCGGGCTTGTTGTCTTGGTGAACGTGGACCTTGATGAGGAACATCCAGCGGCGTCCAGGATCAGCCGGTGAAAGATTCTCCCATGGCGCGAGGTGAGTGAGGGGTGCACCCCCTCCGTTCATTTGAAGAATGTAATGCCGTGAAAGGCAGAACTCAACCTCATCTCTGAAGAATTGGTACGTCTCCTCAATAGCCTCGCTCTTGAACCTGTGCAATGTGAGTGAGTAGCCCACACACCTAGTCGCAACGTACGCACAAGTAGTTGTTGTCCTTCATCACAGCCGGCAGATTTCGCTGGTCCCAGATCTCGGTCTTCTTGCGCTGCGTAACCGTCGAACGGCCTCCCTGAGGCGGGTCGGGAAAGTCTGTCCACCGCAGGGTGCCGGGGCGAGTGTTGAAGTCAACTTCCGGGGCAGTCGGGCCGAAGTCCTTGTCCTTGAAGACCTCGTAGCGGGCTTGAAGGATGTATGACTGACGACTAAGTTGTTGGTGAAGATCCTTCCACAGCATCTGGATGTCCTTTCGGGGAGTCTTGACGATCGAGTTCTGGTTCGAGATGCCGCCGGGCTTAGCAGGGCCCTTGAAGTAGAGAACGCGATGGAGACTCTGCCACGCTGGCATGGCGCAGAGGCCACCTAGCACTGCGCACGCCGCCTGGATGTCGTCATCGTCGACGAGCGTCGTCAGAAAGAGCTCGTACATGGCTGTAATTGAGTACTGAGACGCTGGAGTGAGATGGCTGGGCTGGGCACGAAGAGGCCGCAGTGGTGAAGCTCGGTGAAGTGAGTTGGGCGTCGGTAAAATCGCGGGGAATCTGGTCGCTGCTCAATTGGAGGTCACGTGGAATTGGAATTGACTGGTCCGTGCTTGCTCTTTCCAAAGACGCGCTCCCGGCGCGTTCTGTGCACCTGCCGTCACTGCCCCACCAAAGGTCACAGCTTCCCCGGAGCGCCTTCTGGGTTCCTTCCCTCGATATGCGCTTGTCGCTAATTTTCCTCCCCAACCGACCAATCTCTGCCTCAATTGGAAGTAGACTGCTTCACACAACTTTGAAGATGTCTTCCTCAAATTCGTCGGCGGCGAAGCGGAAACAGAGAGACTCGATCTCTCCTCCACCAGTCAAGCGAAAGGTCCAGAGCGGGACGACCAGTAAGTAGCTTTGCACATACGCATGGTTGCGCCGAATCCGACTGACCATTTTCAAGAGAGCGCAGTCGCAAATTTCTTCAAGCCCGCCTCCCAGAAGCCGAAAGATCGCACAATATGGACAGAACGAGCCCCGAACGAAGACACCCCAGCGACCCTCTTGGTTGGTCGTTACGTACCTGAGAACCCCCCTGCCGAATCGAAGAAGAGAACGAAAGTTGCCGCATTCGATCTGGTATGGCAGATCTGACATGACGTGACTGCTGAAGAAGTGTGGTGTTGACGCACTTCGCCCAGGACTCTACATTGATCAACACGGCTTCTGGCAAGAAGCATTCAGACGACGGAACAGACTGGAAGTGGTGGCATGCCTCCGTTCCCGGACGGCTGAGGGAGCTGTATAACGATGAGGGGTAATGATCGTCTGCAACACATTTAGAAAAACCAGCTAACATGGCCAGATACCGAGTCGTAGTCCTGTCCAACCAAGCAGGGCTTGTACTACACCCACATCCGAAAGCAAAGGGCCCCAAGTCAACCAAAGACCGAGTATCTTCGTTCAAGCAGAAGGTCAACGCCGTCCTAACACAACTCGATATACCCACCACGGTATACGCAGCGACAGAGAAGGACATCTACAGGAAACCTCGGCCGGGCATGTGGAAAGAACTTTGCGAAGACTACGATATCAGCGACGAAGTCGACCTGGAGCAAAGCGTCTTCGTTGGCGATGCAGGCGGACGGATAGCGACGGTGAAGTCTGCCGGTAAGAACGGCTCCGCCACAGCAAAGGACTTCAGCTGCTCAGATCGAAATCTGGCCCACAACATCGGCATCGACTACAAGACTCCAGAGGAATTCTTTCTTGGCGAGGAACCGCGCGATTTCGTCCGGGAATTCGACGTGATACACTACTCTTACCCAGAAGAATCAAAGACCAGCACATCAGACGTCCTATTCGAGAAGAAGAACAAGCAGGACATTGTTATCTGCTGTGGGCCACCGGGCGCCGGCAAGAGCACATTTTTCTGGAATCACCTGAAGCCGTTGGGTTATGAACGGATCAATCAAGACATTCTCAAAACGTACGTTGAACCCTGAGAAACCGTATGAGAGACTGAAGTTAACATTGTCATCAGACGTGACAAGTGTGTTCAAGCGGCCAAGGAGTTCTTGAGCGCCGGCCAGTCTGTCGCAATAGGTAAATACCCATGTTCTCCGCACTCAAGAGTCTTTATTGACGGTCCTCAGACAATACGAACGCCGATCCTGATACAAGAGCTGTGTGGGTTCAGCTTGCTGAGAAACAACAGGTTCCCATTCGATGTGTGTGGCTGAAGACGCCATTGAACGTCTGCGAGCACAATAACGCCGTGCGGTCTATGAATGCATCAGTAGGTCTATCTTGCTCCAACGTCATAGCACGAATGCTTATTCAATATAGCTCAATCCCGAATCCAGGGTGGCCTTGCCTAAGATGGCCTTCAACGGCTTCAAGTCGAGATTCAAGGAGCCCAAACAGAAGGAAGGGTTTCAGGATATCACAGAGATCGAGTTTGCCTTCCGAGGCAGCAAGGAGGAGCATGATGTGTGGGCGAGATACTGGCTATGACCATTATAATCAATGTTAGAGAGTCGGATCAGCCACAATGACGCAGCCTTCTGTATATTTTTGCCCAAAAGCGGTATCAGTGGTTCATTCGCCCCTACTTGCCATGCATTCTTCCTCCCACGTCTTTTTCAGCTGGTATGACGAGGCGAAGTAAGCTCGGCTAAGCAGGTCTCATTCCCCCTTGTCGCCTTACACGTAAGCTGAAGGATGACTACATCTATATCACGTTAGACGACGCCAGCCGACTTTTTCCTTCCCTCTCTCTTTTGCTCCTCGTCTACTATTGGGCCCATCAACCCTTCTCGATGACGACCCACCTCGGTGGTTCCCTAAACTTGAGCCACTGAACATGCCATACACCTTTCAACCTTCTAGAAAGACTTCTAGTTTGAGCTGTCAACTCTGCATAACGTATTGTTCTGTCAACCTAAGGTACTATTCAATATGACAGCACGTGGTCAACAATCTAGTCGGGAAAACGAAGCTACCGACGACATTCGTTCCGAAGAGAACGAGATCAGCCCCCTTTGTTTCACAGGCGACACCACTCCAGCCCAATTCAATCACAACGAGCCAGCCGTAGGGGTTCACAAGGGTTCACAAGGTTAACATCGGCGGTACTGCAGAACGCCCAGGAGCTTCGCAATATCACCGGCTTTCATCGGATGCTGACCACTCAACCATCACACCTTCCAGGACCAGCAGTGGGAAAGAGGATGTCTTGAGACCTTCATCCGGAAAAGTTGTGTCTTGGCGTCCACTCTGGCTTCGATCAACGTCCTTGTTCATTTTTATGGGCTTCTTCGCTGTTAGTACCGCTGGTCTTCTCAGTATGTACGCATATTCTCAGAAGCATACTGGTCTTATTACGACTCAATCGGACTACGCATCCTGGTGGCGTCTCGGCCCAGTAATTGTTAGGTCTTCTAATTGAAAGTCAGAGATTCAATCATGTGTCCTTACATTCAAGTTGCTAGTTCTCACAGTCATCTCGATTCTTTGGTCGAGAGTGGAGCTTCAAGCTCTTCGATATACGCCTTGGATAGCTCTGCGGCAGCACTTGCAACTGGAAAAGGACGATTATGCACTCGACTACACAGCAATGTCACCGCCAGTAGTACTTTTTGAGTCACTGAGAAGACGGCACTATCTGGTGGTTCTCGTAACCCTCGCGTCGTTCTTCATCAAAGCTCAAATCGTTCTTGCTCCAGGCTTACTTAGCGTCAATAGCGTCAAAGTAGCGAACGAAGTTGACGTGCAAATTCTCGACTCTATGGAATCCAGCTTCAATGACACAAAAGTTCTGGATGCGCGAGCATACCACTTCATCAAAGCATTGCAGAACTTCCAGCTGCAGCGCCCGTTTGGAGTTAACGAGGATATAGCGTACCAAACATTCAGATCACGGAACGCACCTCCCAGAGGGAGCATAGATGCGCCCTTGACAGCCGAAGTTGATGGTCTTTTTGCAGATATGCATTGCCTTAAACTTGAGTCCTTCACGTCAACCAAACCCGAACCTCGGAAGCAACGCAACTCCAACGAAACGTTTGACTATATAGTTCAATTGGACCTAAGATTTCGAGGTTGCGAGTCCCCTATCAGGATTGAAAGTCGGCTCCTGTGGCACCAACGTCTTCTGAATGCCACGCTCTTTAACAATAATTTCAGGCTTTTCGACAAATGGGTGGGCTCGTGGGGTGCCCAAAATTTCAACGGCGGAGTAGCCAAGTCGAGACCATGTCCGAACCTACCACAACAAAATAATCAGACATTGTTTTACTCTACAAGGCTTAATATGCCAGGGGAAACACACTTGCCAGTCATTCAGAGTTTTGCGGCGATTCTGTGCACATCGACGTCTTCAAAGTCGAAAGTGCAAGTAGTAGACAATGGGGTCCGTCCCGAAGCAATGCTTCTGTCAGACAAAGAAGTATCACCTGTCTCAGCGGACTTCTGGGCCATGGCCGAGGAAAGCATGTATGCGCTTGACATCTGTAGACAGGGGACCTTTTTCTTTGGTCCAGTCTGCTTTATGACGCTACAGGAAGCGGCTGGAGACTTGACAGCCTCTGAGCTAGCAGCCAGAAAGTGTGGCGACGCGTCATCCTACTCTACTGATTTACTTTACGAATCGACTCTCAATGTTTCTCGGACTCTTTTTCCCTTGCTTGGGCACTACTTTCTGCGAGGAAAAGTCCATCCGAAGGAAACAAAAGCTGGTTCCACAACCGATACCGCCGACAAGCTCGTTGTGAACTTGAATGTATGCGCGTACCGTGCAGTATTGAATGGTATCGTGGCATTCATTGCAATTGTCATTCTGCTTCGATATGGCAGAAGTATCACGGCTTACAAACGAAACCCTTCTACCATTCTTGGTCATATGCTCTTCCTAATTAGCGAACAAAAAGCTACAACTGAAGAACAGGCGACGTCTCATTTCAACTCCCCGGCGGCCACCTGGAGTAATTGTGACTTTGCTCCATTCGTCTTAAGGACATGGGTAAGAGCAATGTCTATCACTTTTACACTTTCAACGATCGCAGCCCTTCTGTACACGTACAGCCTCTCAGGAACCGAAGACCGGCTCATCATAACCACGAATACAGGCTACACTCACTTACTTTGGACGTCAATGCCAGCACTTATCGTTCTCGCAATTTCAATCTATGCGAATTGCTGCAATTCTGCTTATAGGAGCCTTTCGACAATCCACATGCTGTCTTCAAAGCCTTGCAGCGCGCAGGATCTCGATACATCACATCTGGACATGTTGGGATCACGTACTCTCTTAGACTCCCTAAGACGACAAGCTTGGACCGTGAGCTCCTCGCAAATTGTCACCTTACTGTGTGCGTTCTTGACGACTTTAGCCTCTAGTTTGTTCTTCACCGAAATGATTCCAGACGTCCGGAATGTCCAGCTTTTACAAGAAACATGGCTGAGTTCTTTCAAGATTGAGAACACCTCCACAAGCCTCGACATATCTACAAACAACCGAAAACTGGTCAGCAGTCTTGTTCTGTATCAAGATGATCCAACACTGGTTTATCCGCAGGGCACATATTCCGATCTTGTGTTTCACTACTTTTGGGAGTGCGAGGCACTTGAATTTATCCGAGAGAGTTTCGATCCAAATCACGGCGGCAGCTGCCAGATTGGGATCCGTCTGTTCAAGCATTCAACCGAACAATTACAAGGTTGTAAACCATGGAGGTCCCCGTATCCTCAGAGATGTGTATGTAGCTGAGCTAATCACCTGCCCGGATGGTCGACAAGCCGAGCTGAGGAATCCAATTGTTTTGGGAGTTGTCAGGGAAGATGGAGAAATCGTGGGAGGGCCGAGAGATATCTATTTTGCTGAGCAGTTCACCTCCGCGGACAATCTTTTCACAATGAATCAGCTTTGCGCGCTTGATCTCAAGTCCAATGATTGCGATCATTCCCATACGTTCTCCAGAACAGAAACCTATGCCTGGGGTGTCTACAATGCTTCCACTCATCAATTCGACAACCTGACAATATGGAGATGCAACTACACCTGGGAAGAAGTTGCCACCGAGGTAGACCTCAAAGTTTTGAATAACGATTTTGTGTTGGATTCAACAAGGCCACCAAGACCAGATGGCTAACCATGAGACGGTGGGAGCCTACCTTCAACATTCCACCGGTCGGCTACGAGTTTGACGACCTATCCGTGGGTAGTGCGCAGCCTTCAGTAGAACTGGATTGGGAACTCGCCGGTTTAACGAACGATCAGTTTGGCGTCTTATTTGAGCCGCATGGCCCGTTCTCGGCCCAAGACTTTCGCGACCCAGAAATGGAAGACGCCATCGTCAAGAAACTTGGTCACAACTACGCCCTCATTGCAGCCCAATTAGCCAACCTCGAAAATCGCTTCAAGATGAACGAGAGCTCTGTAGACCGAAGTCCTCCATCCGACGATCTTTCGAAGCTGAACGCAACGGTTACCGACCGCGAGCGACGACGCCTCAGACAGAAATCGCTGGTGACCTGGGCTCTTGTCACAATAATGGCATCAGTAACTTTGGCTAATGTCTGGGCGCTTCTGTCTACCGCATCTCGTCATTTTCTGGGGAAAGGCTTGCCGCTGGATATGGACGTGAGAGGCCTTGCACCGAATGGTTTCAATAGTATGACGGCGATGTCTGCCTTGCTCAAGGGCTCGAATATCAGGGTATATCTTCCGGACGACGTGGAACGGCTGTCTTCCAAACGGCTCTTTGAACATATGGCAGACCTGGAGTTCCGGCTTGGTTGGTTTTATCGGGCGGAGGACCAATCTAGGGTCTTCACCGTGGGTGTGATCGGAGATCCAGGTTTTATGTTCCTGGCATCGAAGGAGGGTACAGCCAAGGAAGAGCCGCCGGTTGCACCATAGCCTGAGTTTGTTGAAGAGTTTTGCTATCCGGGCGGGTACTTCTAGCTAACCCGGCGGGTAGTAGATATACGGCGATAGAGATGATCGACGACGACGACAACAACAACAACAACGATAGGGACAGAGAGAGGGATAGCAATAGCGACCAGAGTAGTAAAAGTACCAACTGCTGGACCTAATATAAGTAGTTATCCGCCCGGATAGCTAGAAGTATACGCCCGGATAGCAAGACTCTCGTTGAATCCACAAAAGGTGTCTCCGTGCATAAATCGATTGGACACAATTCATCATCCGCATTAGAGGAGAAGAAGGAATTGCGGTCTGGCCAAGTAACGCCCCGACAATAGGGCGGGCTCGTCGGCGGAGAGGAAAGAAGTCGTTAAGTTCGTAAGCGTCGAAGGCTAGAGGCATCGCCGGTTTCGCTGATTTCGCTCGGTAGGTCGATTCGAATATTGACTGGTGACTGTGCGTTTGTGTACGCTTCGCATCGTGGTTGAACTTCGAGGTCTTCGACAAGATTGCTGCATGGCGCAATAAGTGTCTGGTTGATATTTTTCTTTTGTTGCCCGAATTTGCCGAGTATTTCACCAGAGTGAGCAGAAAAACATAGGGGGACAAATAGTCTTATTTATTTTATTCTGGGGACCCGGCCAGGGTTGATGCAGACTTGGCTCGAAGTTGACGCGTTCCATGATCTTGGCTCGGTTGTGTGTGCCGTTGTTGCCGTGGGTGCCGTTCTTCCGTCCGGGGAAGGCTGAGAGTGCCGTGATACCCGTCGTTAAACGTCTTAGCATTAGCGTTTGTGGGTAGCCAAGTTTATCCCGGTGGAGGCGTCTGCAATGACATGCATTTAAAGATCCGACCATAAGTTTATTTTGACGTTTTGCGGGGAAGGCAGTTTTGTTGTTGAGGGAAATTGTTTCAAAGTATCACTTGCGAATGAGGTTGCGTGGTATGTTGACTCAAGTCATGAGGATTATATTGTTTAAATACACTGACCCCATGTTCATATGTACATAGAATGGCCAAGCGGCCCAGTGAATGCGCATCAGCTTACACACCACAGAAAAGAAACAGTCGTGGTTCGTTGTCTTCCTTCCCCGTTCTTTAACCAGTAAAACGAAGTTCACTCGCGTCTCACAGAGACTGAGCGCATGAGAGATGCACCGTCGCGACCAGAGACCGAAGGCGAAGACCAAGCGGAGCGAGACGCTTAGCAAGCCTTGAGGGTGGAGTACTTGCAGGCGGAAGAAGGGCCGGAGCCGATCTTCTTGGGCTCGTTGCCGGGGGTGGTGCCCTGGAACTCGGTGCAGATCTCCTTGACGGAGGTGGCACAGGTGCCGGTGATGGTGGAGGTGTCACCCTTGTTGGAGTTGATGCCGGTGAGCATCTTGCCGTTGTAGGCCTTGACGTTCTTGACGACGACGGAGCGCTTGCCCATGGTCTTGCAGTTGCCGCAAGAGCGGTAGAGCTTGCCGAAGTCGACAACGGTGAAGCCGTCAATGGTGACGGTTCCGAGACCGTTGTGCTGGATGACCTTGTCCTCAGCGCCGCGGGCACCACTGTAGATGTATTGTTAGCCATTTAATTGGGTATGGGAGTGAGTAGAATGTGACTTACCCGCCAATGACGGAGGCGTTGCCGTCACCCTTCAGGGAGAGAGCATCCTCGCAGACAGCAGTCCACCAGACGTTGTTGATGGTGCAGGAGCCCTTGCAGTGGACACCCTCGATCTGGTCGGCACCGATGATGGCGTTCTTGAGGGTAGCGCCGTTCTCGAGGAGGAAGACAGCGTCCTTGTCGCCACCCTCAGCCTGGCCAGTGCACTTGACGCCACGGCCGTAGGTCTTCATGCCACCGTCGAAGGTACCCTTGACGGACTGAGCAGCCTTGTAGGTGACGGTGCCCTTGGAGGCGGGGATGGGGAAGGAGGCGCGCTTCTCGATGGCGGCGGCGCCGTTGGGGCCAGACTGGCCACCGGGGGCGGCGAGAACGGCAGAGGCCGAGATGGCAGCGAGGACAGCGGAGAACTTCATTTTGAAAGTGGTGGTTGGTTTAAGAAAACACGTAGAGTTGGAATAGTTGGATGAGTGTTGACAACGAATGAATAACCACCAGGGTTAAAGAATGTGAGTAGTTGGATTGGTAAAGGAGAGACGGTAGCGGAAGATACTGATGAGAGGATGGAGAGGAAAGAAAGAGACGTTGATGGGCAGGAAATCTGCGCCTTCTTATATCGAAGAGATGCTCTCGAGATGCTCCCCCCGAACTGGTGCCAAGTCCACACCACCGTCTGCGAGCAGTGATCCTGATTCTGCAGTCCTATCCCTCAGCCAAGACTTTTCCAGTGGGACCTCGCATTTGGTCCAGCTCACAGATACAAGCTTTCGCCAGGGCTGGGGTGATTGAGGCCCATCCAGAACTTCTAGTGTACCGCCCGGTCCACGATGGAGTGAGATTGAGTGCGATATGGCCTGCGCCGCGGCAAGTGATGGCACCAGGCTTCACATTGAGTTGACCGGGGTTTAGGGGCAAAGGTGCGGATGGAAGCTGGGCGCAAAAACAATCGATTCATTTCGGGCACAGCCTTCCTTCCCTGTCGATATGATCCACCTTGATATCGGAGGATGGTTCGGACGCTTCGGCGAGCCGCAACCTTCGCGCAGGAACAACATGTTTGGCTGATCACAGGGGCAGAATGACTGCCCAAAGAGGATGTCAAGGCATGAGCAGCGCCAAGGACAGGGCCGTTTGACTCTTAGATCTCCAATTTGCCCATCGGCTCAGGGGGGGGCATGATTGTGCAAACCCATCAGACCCGTGAGTGAGTTGGCATAGCGTATTGTCTGTATCCGTACCAGTCCAGAGATGGTTCACATTTCGTATTTGTCTAAAAAGTGGCGCTTTCTGCATTCTGGACCATGAAACATGTCAGGGGCTGTCACAGGGGTGGTTGACTGGTGAAAAAGAATTAACCCATGTCAAAGATGGGTGGAGAGTCTTCTTTTTGGGGACAAGTCGGGTGGTTTGAGGTTCGGTGAGGTCACGTTGCCAGTCGTTCGGAGTGAGCAGAAAAAAATAAACGAGCCAAAAAGTCGGCCATAATCCGCAATGTTTCCGTGCACTCGAAAGCAACGCTAGCGCGCGGGAAGCGCTCCCATTCGCCGCCACCCATGTTTCGGTTGTATATCGAAGGGAGATGAACTGGGGCTCCAGATGGTCCAACTTCCATTTAGATAAGACCCGTTACCTTGGTCCTGAGTAATTCCCGAGCTCACGGAAATGGAAATGCGTTGGGGACTTTGGCACCTTGACGGACGCCTCTGAGCTGGCATTGCCGAACTGGCAGCAAGCCGACTTGTTCTATCCGTAGCGCTCGTCTAACCCTGACCTTGATGCTAGAGCTTTTCTCGAATAACCTTACAAAGGTGAAGAGGATACGCATATGCTATCGATAGACTCGATATTGGTGGAGCGCGGCGCCAACTGAACCGAACCGCTTTATTGCCTGGGGCCAGGGATCATGACTTGACAAAGTCTTAAGCCGTGGCGAGCCTGATATTACTGTTGGTCGCTCACTGGCCAGTTGGTGCGCTGCGCAAGTCATTACCCGTAACCTTCACCGCAATGCCCGCTAAAAGATCATGCTTTCCGTCCCCTGCTGAACTTTCGTGACCTTAATCGACTGTCCGGGGTACCGCTGACACTGAGTGAGGACGGGCCAATTCTACAGCGGCTACGGGCAACGGGAGCAGGTTTTCTGACTCTGAGACAGTGTTGATTTAATCCGATTCAACATGCTACTGAAAGAGTCGTCTTCCGTCATATGTGGATCAAGCATTGAATCATTACACTGCGGTCGCTGATGTTCAAAATACCTAAAACCCCGCTACTTTCAATGCGCCGCGCGATTGGTCAAACGATCTCCAGTTTCTGCAATATATCACCAACTTGTGCCGTCTGGAATGTGGGTGGACGTTACAGTCGCTGTAGGCAGAGTCGCAAACTGCAGTGCATCGCGGGGCGCGCGCAGCGACAATGGGCTTTTTGGGTTATCCCTCAATGTCACCTGGCTGTTATCGGCCCTGGCCCCGACTTCTGTTGCAATGAAACAAGGTAGAGAAGGAAAAATAGAGTCAGTCTCCGTCGCTCTATTGCCTGTTCTAGCGGTGTGTGAATCCAACGCGGGTACGGATACTGGGCAACAGGCACATGGAGCGGAGATCGGATGGCCTCAATCAACATTAACAACAAAACCCATGGGGCCACAACGCTTGAACCCGGCAGCCTGGCAAGGGGGTGGTCCGTTGTCTGTGTGTGCCCCCTTTTCCCACCAATGTGCAGTCTCCATTTAGCTCGAGGAATTCCCACGGCACTTCTCCAGAAACGTGATGCCAAGACTTTTGGAAAGGAGATGATGCCAAGACTGGAACCTCTGCCAAGACTTTTTAGCATCCATCGATCTGCGCACTTTTCACACACGAAACCGAGGTCACTGACCAGCTCAGCTCTGCGCGATCGTGACGAACGTATTTTGGGTTTGCCAAATTCTGCTCGACGCGCTTCGTTGAAAAACTCTTTTTTTGCAGCTTCAACGACCACCGGACGGCCGAATTCGAGATTCAACGGCTTTTCCCCCGGACGCTCCGAGAGGCCTCCCGCCTCCCCCGTCTGGGACCTCGACCGGCGAAAAAAGGGGGCCGAATCCGCCGCTTACGGGGGTCGGAGTCGCCCGGCTAGAGCTGGCGAAAATGCCAACAGAGGGTCATGAGTGGGTATCGTCCTTGAGCCATGTCCACCCCGAGATTGCGCCCCAAACGGGAGCAAGCATCGGTTGATGTGCCAAGTGGGCGCTGTATTCTCATCCAAACATTGGACTCGGCCGCCAACGTGCTTTTTTGCCCGTAGCAACGAGACTGCTTCAGGTTCACATTGAGATCAACAACAGGAATCGGGGTTTTTTTGGTACTCTGCTCATCCTTGATTCCTCCGGCTGGTACAATGCCCACTTTGATATACTAAGAAAACCTCTACGTTGGAGACGTATCGTGAACCGCACCAGACAGAATCCAGTAAAGTTGCTTTCGTCCGAGAAAGCTCGTAAAAAAATCGGATTCATCTCATGTTTAATCTATCTGCATTCCATGTTCTCAGGTGAGCACACCTAGCCAACCCCTGATTTACATTGTGAGGCAAGTGAGGACCAGCCTCACGCCTTACTTGCTACCCTACCTGCGGGCAATCAGATCTTAAGCCAAGGGATCTTTGGATAAGCATAGGGGTCTTGCACTAGGATACGAACGTTCAGCCCCCGTGAACGCATCGTACAGATTGCCATGCAGCACAATCAACGTTGCGATTACAACCCGAACCACTTTTGTTGGGTTACCTACTGGAAGCAGCCGACGGGATATGATCTAAACAATCGTTCGGATGGAGTACCCATTCCCAATTATTGATTCTCAGTGGAGGGAGAATCACTTCCGTGGGTTTCGTGCATCTCCTCGGTAGCATTGACTCCCGTTCGGTCTCACACCATGAACGCATGATCGTGAAAAAACAAGATTTTCTCGCAGAGTCATTCGCGTTCGTAAATTCAACGTATCCGAACCAGACTTCTCCGCAAGTAATTCTCCAGAAATGACATGTCGTCGACGTCTTTCTGTAGAAGAAAAGAGCCGGCATGCTCCACGTTGGGCAGAATGCCGTGGGCAGAACGCGATGGAGACGCAAGGCTCGTCGGAGCTCGATTCCGCCAAATGCCAGCGCAGCAGGAGCACACCTGGGTCATCTATCCTTGCTGGCCGTACTGACATCCTTGCCAAGGCATTCGGAAATGGCCCTTTTGAATTTTTGATTACCATTACCGTGAGAAATATTCACCGCGTAGCAAGACACCGTCGCCGACATTCAGCGTGGCGGGGACAGCTGGCCCAGCCTCGTGTAGCTCCAGCACAAAGCTTCCTTATCAACGTAGCCGCCGAGCATGTTACAAAAGTTGTGGTCTATCATCCGATGATTTCGATAAAACCACCGCCAAGCACGAGTGAGGCCTTCTCCACGAGCCAACAACTCCGCGCCTACAAAAAGCAAACACATCCACCGCGGCACAGCCTGGCATCAAAAGTGGGTGCTCAAAGCGGGCGCCTCGCCCCTCAAACACAGCAGCTCTCCCTATGCAGCCACTACGGGCGCATGACCAGGTACAAAGTGCATGTACAGCCATTAGGGGGATGGCAATCTCCATTATTCAATTTGTATCTTGCTTCTTTACAGGTTCAGTAGACGATAGACTTGCTCTCTTTACTGGCTGGAATCTTAGGATACGCTGTCGTTGCGGATCTCACCGACTCAGGAGCATAGATGGACCCAGCCCCCAACATGAAGCCTTGCTTGATGGTTCGGACGAAGTATGTCTAGACCGCCGGGGAGACGGGACAACCAACCGATCCAGCTAGAATATTCGGGATATCTAAGGAGATTGTCGGGGGCCGAGGACAAGCAATCTAGATGATAGTAGCTCTTCTTGACCGAGATACACTCCGCCCTTCGTACTTTTGTGTCCACACTAATGAACTCATCAATGCCCACGCTAATGACCCGACCGAGTTTTGGCCAGACCCAGCGTTGACCATCATCTCCTGGAGCCTTCACACCGCTGTCCAGTTGAGTCAATTTTGACAGTCTTGGCCCAGCAAAGCTGACCGCTCCTTCGTGGTGTTGAATCCAGTTGATGCCATCTTTTCTACCGGACGCCCCTTTTGCGCTGCCTAAAAGCCGCTTCGTTGAGAGCTCAAAAGTCTGTATGCTGGAAATGAAATGCATGTGTGAGATAGCTGCGGAGGCCAGAACATAGTTGACGTTCTGGATCCGGCGCTTCCGACATCGTGCTATGCCTTGGCTCAGTTCCCTTCATCATGTTTGTATTCGAAGTTATGGGTGACTACTTTTTGCTGCGCCTCTTAATTATGATTCTAATCAACTTGTGCTACGCCATCATTGATGCTTGGAAGCCTTGAGATTGACAGCATGACTCGGCCTACCGGCTTGATGTGGCCCTGGAGGATGAAAGACTGGTGCCAAAGACTCTCCGACAATTTTTATAAGCATTGATCTGCGAAGGAAGAAGTCGACTCCCATTCAGAAGCGCTGTAGCCTGTAAACCGTTATCAGTGCCTGGCCGGTCAGTAATGAAGCCAAAGCGCCGTGGCTGGAATTTCCGTACCAAGAGTCTGGAAGAAGCGTGCCTTAACCTGAATGAGCCGACACCTTCAACCATGCCTTCTCGCACTGTATTGCAATGATATGCAGTGCCATACATCCAGGGGACGCGGCATGTACCATCGATAAATGTGTGCAGTGTGTTGATGCACAGTCCGTGGCCCCACGGTCGGGCATCACCCGTTGTCCCTCAGTGATGGGCCAAGTCTCGTTCAAAACATGTTTTTGACCCGTAAGATTTCGAGTTGATTGCTTGTCGCGAAATGCGACGTCTGTGTTGGATTGGAGTTTGACTTATAATGAAGCTCGGTCGCAATAAGAGAACAAATGCCACGTGCCGCTGAATTCAAATGTCCCGGTTTCTTCGCACCTGGCCCCTGCGCAATATCGACATGTTTTGCTTGAAAGGAACGTGCGTCAGCGGAATTTCATTTAGCCATGGATATCACGAATACTGTTCAAACTCTATTAAGCTACACCAACTCGAAAGTCAATACATGCGTAGATCAGATGGTAATTGCAGAGATGACAGGTGCCTTTGGAAATTTTTGAGTGGCATCAAGATAATATAACGACAATGACGAGAGTCGAAGCCTTAGTAGCCATGATGCTGTTGCTAACTTTGGTCAATGGCGGTTGTTTAGCTCCGCCAACCCGCTTTTGATGGCGAGGACTTTCCAAACATACCAGTCGTACGTCTCAGCTCGCATCTTAAACTTGATTCAAATGTTGTAAAATGTCACTCTCTCCTTGAGCTCTGTGCTGCGTCACACGTCCATTCCACCCCTGAATGTAAAAGACATCATTACCAGAGGTTACTGCTTCACTTTGCTGGTGTCCGACGCCTCAGAGTGTGGAATTAATTGTCAAGGGTGCTTCAGGAATGCGTAGTTCTATCGAAAAGCAGAATCCCGAGTTACCAGGGAGGTTCCGTGACCGATTTCAAGTCACTACTGACTTTGTGAATCTCGTGTTGGCATATTACACCCGACTTCATCAGAAATAATCAGCTATCTCTGGCTGCGATTCATATGGTGCTCTGATCAGAAGAAGATATCTTGGATCAAATGAACCAACATCCTCGAAGGCTGAGTTCTAAGATCGCAGCAAAGACAGCTGAATGGCAAACCCGCGATATAACTTTGCTATATAGCGAGAACTCAAGATATATAATAATGGATGTTATTCGACATGTCCACAGCCTGAAACACTCTCATAGAAGCTAACAGAGTCTTCATTATGTTTGAAAATAACTTCTAGAAGCTGGAATGTTTTACTTCTTCATCACTCATTTCTAAAATATAATTCCTAAGATATAACTCTAAGATAGGCTCAACTACTACCCTATTTAATCCGCAGAAAAGAACATTCAACACAACAAGCAAAATACAAGTTGTCAGTAGTTGAAACTTCGCACTTCATAATAAACACTGCACATTTCTTCAACAACTTCCTGGCTCTCATGTCGATCTGAGTCCATCCGCTTTTTCCGGGAATCGGGAACGCAAAATCCAGCACTCCTCTACAACCTTCAAGATACAGGCGCAAACAAGGTATCTCTAGTTCAGCAGGCAATTTCCACATATAATAAGCCGCTTCTCTTGTCAAGCCACAAGATAAGACTCTAGAATTCAAAGACCACTCTTCCAAGCTTACTATGGCTGTCCGTTCACGAGTGATTCAGCCCCTGCAGTTCAACGGATCGAGGGTTTGTCCCATTCCGAGGCCCCCACCATCTCGTCAAGACGCACGCTACGAAATTCGCTTGCCCTCCGCCCCTCCCATCGGAGCATGTTTCTCCACTCCTTCTACTCGCCCTGATGGTCTAGCGGTATGATTCTCCCTTAGGGTTGTTCATTGACAATTCAGTCTGGGAGAGGTCCCAGGTTCGATCCCTGGTTAGGGCCCAACACTTTTGCTTTTTGAGGGTTCTTGACTCTTCACTAGATTTCTCTGCTTTTGGTGTTCCTCAGCCTGCAAGGATTGATTGCATGGAGTCCTGTGACAGGCAATCATCAGTGCAGACGAAATAAAATCGATACGTACGTACATGCTGTATCTTCTATTATTTTTGCAACCCACATGCCGATCCGGTACCCCCGGCTGTCTTCAAAGCCCTTCGGAGTCCTTACCGAAATGTCGCCATTCGCACGTTCGGCTCCGCCGCCGATCGGCCGTTTCAAGCGGGTCAACGAACGCGAACCGAGTCTGGGGTGGTGACGGAGTAGTCCTTCTTGGCATGCAATGAGAAGACGACATCGCGAGCGGGTCGTGCAACAATTGCCGATGTTCACCGCCATCGTCCCATATCTCGTAGAGTGCAGCTCAAATGCCGCCCGCAACTCTGTTCAAGCGCATCAGAACATTGTTTCGAGACTGAAAGTTTGGATGAGTAGACTTCGGCCAAAGTCGGGGTGAGAAGCAACCTTCCGTGCCCTTATCCGTCATCTCCGTCGCTCTCCATGAATCAGATACTTTTGACGGAAAAGCGCGACACAAGTCAGTTTCCCGCAGGTTGGGATGCGATGAAGCTGTTAAACTAAACAGCCGCTGAGCGGTCTTGGCAGTATGAAGCTCATAGCCTCGTGCTCTACTACCAAGATGCTCAGCCACGACTCAATTGATGGTCGAAACGAAATGCGCTGCATGTTGAGGCCTTGGGATACGATTGAGATGTACGAGATAAGATCACAGAAGTCTTGGCAAAAACTATCACCGACTCAGGGCCTAGTTCCACTCACGAAACTTTGGATGTACCTTCTCAACCCTCGAATCGCCTTGAATGCGATCAGACCCGATGTGGATATTCCATCAATGCCCCAAACATTCGGATCGCCACAAACAAGCCATGTTTGAGCTTCAATCGCCCCGATTGTTGAGGGGTGAAAGGCAGGCCTACCGATGATCCGACTCGTCTGAACTCTCACATACAAATGCAGTTTCATGCAACGCTGCGCTTCTTGACATGTGCTTGCCCTGTATTGATACATGCGAGGTTGTTGAATGGCACGAACCTATTGAAACAACCAAGTCTGGCAACTCTGAAGCGAAACATGGTGATAAGAGAATGTTCTCCACAAGAAAGAGACATTCGTTTCGCAAGTATCACAACATTTCTGATGACCAGATGACGACGAGAAATTTACTCTCCGTTCACTTTCGATTGCGTTCTCACATCTGGAAGAAGCCCCGAGTCAAATATCAGTGACAAGAAGGATTTTTGTTGTCCTCGCTAGTTCTTGTATGTGTCTCGTACGCTTCCGTAATTGCCAACCTGTCTAAGAACCTATTGAAACTTCGGGTATATGTGTGTACTCTAAGAAATCCATATTGCGCCTACTCCATATCCAATGTTTCCCCAAAGATCACTTCGTACAGTAGTAACAGTACTCGTGCTATAAAGAGAACAGTTGCTTCGACTTCATCTCTGCTGTCTCGATCCATCTATCGTAAAAGTAGCGCTTTTGGGCGTAGTTGTGTCTGTTAAAGACCGAGTCTCCGGTTGGAGAATAGAAACGCCCGTATTATCGGACTTCATAGATCGTCGGCTGTTGGATACGGGCCGCAGTTCCGTGTTGGTGTTTTGGGTTGATCTAGCAGACCTCGTAGACCTCGTCAAGCTCTGGCGGGTCAGGTCGATGAGCTTCGGGAAGAATTTGACTGCAAGCTGCCTGGCGGCTGGCATGCAAGCAACGGAGATTCCGACGCAAAGCTCGACATAGGACCAAATGATGCCCCAGAGAGTTTCAGCTGCGGTATTGATGAGTGACGATTCCATGAGTGTCGATGAACAATAGACTTACCTGTGATGTTGAAAGACGTGGCAAAGACCAGTAAGCTTTTGATCCGGATTATGCTCACAATTGTGAGGCTAGTGGCGGATTAGAAAGGGATGGGCTCCGGATAGAGACAGAGAGGACTTACAAGACACCAACGCCAAACATTGCCATGACCCCCAACTTTTTCTTCAGAGGAAGGTTCAGCTTGTACACTTGAGATGCTGGCAGAATGAGCATCCAAACGTCCAGACCAATGTTCAAACCGACATGGGTAAGTCCGATCAAGTTGAGATCGGCACACTTGCCAGGATGCCGACCGTCCCATCCGTTCCAATAGTGGTTCAGTGGCTGGCATTGAACCAGGCTCAGAAGGACGTAGGAAAACCCGAGGAGGAAGTTGAAGCCCTGTGTGCACCATAAAACCGTCCTAAACGATCTGATGCTGAAGACTCGGAGGTATAGGCAGATGATCGAGGCCTTGATTACCGCAAGATCGAGGATGTAGAACAGCTGGAGGACAAAAAGTAGCTGAGGTTGCTTAGTGCCAAGTTCTTGTGAAAGTCTTTCGGATTGCAGGCTCACCTTTAGAAACATTGTGATTTGATAGGGGTGCAGCTTGAAAATGTCTTGGCCAAGGCCATAGTTCAACACTTGCCTGGATGTCAGCCCGCCATTTCCTCGGTTTCGGGAGATCTTGCCAACACTTACTGACGAACGTTATTGGCACAAAAGGCAAGAAGAATATCTGCTCTCAAGTCAGTGTTGTTTCAGGTATCAACGCAGAACGCCGGACATACAAAAGCCAGCACAATCGTCGTGTCCTCGACTCCCCATGTCGTCAGATGCAGGCCTCTTGCGATCATTCGGACGGCGAAGAACGAGACCGGTAGGATGAGCAAGAAAATCAACGTGTAGCGTGCCGTGCTTGTCGTGTCAGTCAGTGGGAATCCGCATGCCGTCCATGTCAGATTTGTAACGGCTACCCAGCAGGTCAGCAATCGATGCCAGCACTATCATCCATAAACACATACTGAGCGCCTCCTGGACGGTGCATGCCGTCTTTACGCAGTCTCCCACGAATCCATTGAACACAGGATTCGTACACAGACATGTCGTGTTATCGATGGTGCAGGGTGACTGAGGCAGGGCCTTGAGAGCGCAGGTAACCTAAACCAAAGCATCAGTAAGGAAGTCCACGCACGTAGAGAGAACAGGTTCACGAACAGCACACTCCGGGGCCGCGCCCAAGGCGTCAGTGAACGCAGATCCAGACACCAGCCTCACGGCTCCCACAAGGAGCATCGAGACCAGAGAGGCCCTCATGGTGGACGGTTGATGCCGGTGGGATGACACACGGAAAAAGACAATGGAAGAAAACAATGTTACACGGGATCAATCACCATTCACAAAGTACGCGTGCATGATGGGCGCAATGCGTATTAAGAGCGGTGCGTCCTCCTCCCGACGAAAACGGCCAACGGGCTTTGACTTCTATGATGCTCTTGGCCACTGAATCTGCCGATGCGTGTCAGGGGGCGGCGCGATGGCCCAGTCCCAGGAGATCGGCCACGCTTGCACGCAAAGCGCCTTCAAAGGCAGCACGGCCGCTGGCAGCGCGCGGGCTCTGGGGAAGCGAAGCGCCGCCATTGCTGCTATCCGCTGTCCGCTTCAAGCCAACGTTCGTTCCTCTCAAAGAGATTCATTGCTTTCGTTGAAGAAGATGGGGCCATTGGCGGAGCTGTGGCTGAGACATCGGCTGTCGTCGTGGAGCTTTGGGCGTCCTGTGGTCTTGGAGACTGGGGACGTGATTGGATGCCGCTGGCGTTCGTGGCGCACCCGGGGAAGAGGTTCCTGGGTGTGCTAAGCTTCATCGAGACGGGGTCTGGAATCTGGATGGGCTCTGATGGTTGGCATTTTCGCGTTGCTCGGGACAAGGACAGACGCGAGCTGCTCGGGATCCTAATCCCATTGAAGCCGGGCTGAGCCACAGGAATCGTCAGTTCGAACCATTGAATTCGATAACCCTTTACCCATGTGACTCGGGACCGAGATCCATCCTGTCGCCCCCTCGACCTGAAGCCTCACACCAATAGCTTGACACTCGTTCCTGGTCCAGGGGTGGTGGGGTGGTGGCACCTATGTTTTGATCGCTCGCCACAGATGGTCGCCTTCCAAACAAGGGGGAATTGCCTTCACGAGCCGTAGATATGCCGATGATCCATTCCACGAAGTCGCATTGAAGTCGTGTCGTTGGGAGCATGGCCGGATCCGGTCTCTCGGTTCCATTGGCGGCAGAATCGTGCCAGTCGACTAGTCATGGACCAACAACACGGCCGCCCCGTATTCGGTGCGTATATCAATGGCCGAGGACGTCCAATTCGTTCCGCGTTTCCACGGCCGCGCCGACAGGTTGCATTTCCGTCTCCCAACAGATCCAAGGATCATGCACCATCCTTCCTTGATGTTCCGAAGGTCTTGATATATCTCTTTGCCGATGGCCCGTCCTCGGCCGAACCCTGTCACCTTTCACACGCGGGCGTTCCCCGTCCTAACCGTAGTCCCTCACGGCAATTCTCCGCTTCCCCACAGACACAGGGGGTGCGGGCCATCTCCGTCCCCCTTGTTCACATCTTGACCGCGGACGGGGTCTTCTCCGTCTTGCTTCTGTGCGGCCTTTGTCCGTGTAAGAATGTCTCTGATCTTCATCCAATACGTCGAGTTGCGTCACATACATAATGTAGGGATTCTGTTCCCTGCAGGGTTTCATGCGCACACTATGCAGGCCGATCACAGCTTTTACTTTGCTGTTTGAGCAAGATCAAGCGAGGTTCAGGTCACGCCAAACGAGACATCAGATTTCGGACGAAAAGTCATTCTCTTTGAAAACATTGTTTCTTTTGGAATCATTACTTCTTTGGGTGCATATTGCATTCATTATATGGGCCCTTTTGTTTTGGTTTCAACCATCAGACGCTTTCAGGCATCTATCGTGTACACATTATACAATCTCTAAACCTCCCTCTTCTCAGCGTGCGTCGCGGCACCCTGCACGCCCTCGGCGGCCTCCTGCTTCTCGTTGTGGACAATGTCGCGCTCCTCGGCGTCCGCGTTGCCGTGAAGACCGATCCTGTACCACGGCAGCTCGAACAGGCGGTCCATGCTCTCGAGCGAGCGGCCGGCGGTCTCGGGGACGAAGAACCAGACCCAGACACCGCCGATGATGGTGATGGCCGCGAAGGACCAGAAGGTGCCCATGGGCGAGATGCCGCCGTGGTCGGTGGAGAGCAGCATGTTGGGCACGGCGCGCGAGTTGCCATACTGGTTGGCGAAGTGCAGCGTCATGGCCCAGGAGGTGGCGAGGGCGCGGACGCGGAGGGGGAACAGCTCGGCGGTCAGGAGGTACTGCATGGAGTTCCAGCCAAGGGCCCAGCCGAAGCCGGAGATGTAGATCATGGCGATGGCGCCGCGGGAGACGCCGAGGAGGTTCTCGGGGAGCACGAAGCTCTCGTCGACGCCTAGGAGCGGCACGTGGGTAAGGAAGCCGGCGACGTAGATCATGGCGATGGCCTGCAGGGTGATACCCGTGAGCAGGGCGCGCTTGCGACCGATGACATCGACGAGGAACAGCGCGCAGAGGATGGCGGCGGTGAGCTTCACGACACCGAAGACGGCGGTGACGAGGAGGGACTCGTTCTGGCCGGTGATGCCGAGGATCTTGAAGAGGTCGGGGGCGTACAGGGTGATGGAGCCGGCGCCGGACCACTGGGAGAGGAACTGGACCATGGTGCTGAGGTAGAGACGGTACAGGTTGCTTGGGACGAGGAAGAGCTCCTTGACCTTGCCGAACCAGGTGGCGCCCTTGCTGGCCTCGAGCTCCTCGTGGTGGGCAGCCTGGATGTTGTAGATCTCGCGAGTGACGTACTCGTGGTCGACGGAAAGGTGACGCAGGTGAGCCATGGTCGTGGTGGCCTCCTCGATCTTGCCCTGCTTGATCAGGAAACGAGGGGACTCGAACTGGAAGAAGGTGAGGATGAAGATGATGCCGGCGAACATGATGTGCAGCGAGGTGGGTACGAGCCAGCGGTTGTGGGTGGTGTCGCCGAGGTGAATCTGGCAGCCGTAGTTTGTGAAGTACGCGAGGACGATGCCCAGGTACACGAAACCGGTGAAGACGCAAGTGCACAGGCCGCGGACGGAGGCCGGGGCGATCTCAGCGAGGTAGACGGGGCCGACGACGGGCGTCTGACCGACACCAAGACCGGCGATGAAGCGGCCGGCGTAGACGGCGCCGAGGTGTCCGTTGTTGGCCATGAAGATGGCAATACCGATAATCCAGATGACGCAAAGCTGACGGGTAGCCCAGATACGGCCGATCTTATCACAGATGACGAAAGCACTGAACCGGTCGTGTTAGTCGGAGACGAGTTGAGCGCAAAAGCCACCCGAGGGGCGTCGACTTACAAGAGAGCACCAGCAACGGAACCGAGCTGGACCATGGCGGAGACGTTGGCCTTGATGTTGGTCTGCTCAACTTCGCTGTACTGATCGTAGTGGATGAACTTTTGGAAATCCTTGGAGCCGAAGGCGCCAGAGATGAGACCCTCATCGACACCACGGGCGGCGCCCATGAGGCCGAAGGAGATGACGGCGAACCATAGTCGCCAGTTGAAAACGCCCTTGGGCTCGCCCAGCTCACCGAGCTTGAAGACGTTGATGGGTTTCTTGACACCACCTCCAGCCATTTTGGAAACTGTTTCTTTTCGGTGCTCGCTCGGGATGGTTTGTCGGCGGGCTATGCAAAGAGAAAAGAGGGGGGCGTGAGGTTTGAGGTATGAACACGACGGTTGAAGAACAAGAAACCGTCGGATGGGTGAGAGGGGGTTGATATTAATACCCCAAGAAGATCCGGGGAGGGAAAAAGGGAAGTGATCGGAGGGAACACCAGCTTACATGAGTAACCCAGATCACAAATGCAAACTACACACCACGCGCACACGACTAGAATCCCTCCCCCCGCCCTCTGCGAGATGACAGCCAGCGGTCAATGCAACCCCGTGGGAAAAGGGTCGTAGGGGGACGTCGGGGGGATGGTCCGCCGACCGACCAATCGCTCAACTTCCGTTCCACCATCGTGAAAAATTGCGAGGGGAGGAACGAGTGGAATGGTGTCCTGGTCACGAAACTAGACAAGGATGTCTTGATGAGTTGAATGGGGAAGGGTATGGGGATGAACATGGAGATGCGTGGGGAGAGAGGAGAGACGATGCCTTTGGTGCGTAAAGTGGGCGGCAGCTTGCCCATATCCGGCTGTAGCAACCGCGCGCCGGCGGCTTTGGTTTGGGGTAGTTGGGGAAAAGACAAGGAAGAGGAGGAGGAGGAGGAGGAGTACGTAGGACGGACTACTCGAGTCGGGGGTTGGTAGACAGACCATTGCCTGCCAGCCTGGCCGGGATGTTCTCCGCTGTCCGTATTGTCGGACGCGCCCGTTGTGTAAGCTGTTTCTCTGTCTCTCTCGCTCTCGTTGTTTTTCTCGGCGCAGTTTTGCCGTATCTCGCAGCTGTATTATCCACAGTGATGCACCATGCAGAGACAACGGTTTTGGGGGCCTCTCGGTTTACTAGATCTGGCAAACGGACTCTAGATCTGTTTGATACTGGGTGTCAGAAATAACGTGGTATCCCAAAAGTTGGCCCCGAGAAATTCGACGGAAAAAGGGCGGCTCGAATTAACGGAAAAAGCTCTGATACAAAGTCTAAATTCTCAGAATCGACCACCTGCCGCGGAGAACTGGGATGACTTCCGCTCATCTTCAGATGACCGTTCGCGCCTCTGGGGTGGCCCATGAGGCCACGCGAGGTTAGAGGACGGGCATCACCCCGCGGATCAAGGCCGATAGACTCGTATTTCTCACAGTTAGTGTTCTCAAGCCAGCGGTTTGGGATCAAGAAGCTCCCGCAAGTTCCCGTAATGCAACACACCAAGAGACAATTCCACGGGCAGAGGATGCAGTAGTGTCTCCCAGCTCAACAAGAAATGAATCGCCCGAAGAAGCAAGGCCGCTTATGTCCCGGCTGGGAGAAGGGGGACAGCGGTCGGTGGGGAGGTGAGGTTGGGGTAAATCTGCCCAGAGAGGGTGTGATGCACGCGAGAAGGGCGAAGAAACCGCCTCAAGGCTTGTCTGCACCGGCAGGATGGTGTTCCGCGGCGCTGGATTGGACCAAGAGTTCGACAAAGGACGATCCCGCCCAGTGCCAAGTGACGTGATGTTCCTTGGGAGCGGTGCTTGCTTGCTTGCCAAGTGCGCAAGCCAAGTCGGGGCCAAAACCACCATAAGGCACTTAGTAGACAACCCCCCTGTCCTTAGGTGGGAGAGCGGTGCACCGCTCCGCATTCTCCGCGCTTTGGAAGTTTGGAGACGACCATCCGTCTTGTTCTCTCCCCCGCAATGCCAAAGATTTCACAGAAATAATAGCTGCGCTCTGACTCGTCGAGAGGGTGCGTTTCCAGTTTTTGCTGCTGACCAAACATTGGGAGGGAAAAAAGAGTGGGAAAGACAGAGATGCAACGCCAGGCCGAAGCCCTCGCAAAAGCCCCATGTCGTCCCATGATCCATGTCCCCAACTTTTTACGTGGAACCGCTGCGAGTGCCTCCAGACGTCCAGCCTAGGTAAGCCAGCCAGATTTGCTCCAAGATTTGCCTAAAGCAGCCAATCCCAAGGCCGGGTCCCTCAGCAAGTTCGCAGGCGGCAGAGGCACCGCAGCTCGCCGCCGGCCGGGTGGGGCCCTGCTCGGGCTGCTTTGGGACTAAGTCGACGGGGTTTGTCCGCGCGTGCAACTGCCGCTCGGCCATCTTCCGTGAGGGCAAACTCGCAAGTTGCTCGTCAACCACCGACGGCTGCGGTTTTTACGCCCGCGGAGCCTTCAGAATCGAGTCATACTGGCAGTAGCCCCTTGTAGGCTTGTATGCCTGCGCCGGTTATTGTTACATGAGAAATGCAGATGACCAGGCCAGGCCCATCGGGCCTCGACCGACAATTCGCCTCCCCATCTCTTTGCTGCTCCACGAACTCCAGTCTGCTTGCCTAGCTTTCCCCTCAATGCTCCCAGGCAAGATGGATCTTGCGCGAATGAATCCCCGTAGTTTAAGCTTACATGCCGTCTCGGCCAACCACGACATCGATGATTGCGCAGTGGCACGACCGGTGATTCGTACGCAGGCAGAGAGATCCATCCGTCCATCCAGATGGCCAGGATATCCGACCATCCGTCTCATTGCACCCTTTCTCTGCCCCAAAGTACCTCCCCAGGTCCCCTTTTCCTGCTCGCCTGCTCCCCAACCCCAAAGTCCCCACGGAGAAGCTTCCTTCAATGGGGACTTTACGGGGTAAAAAAACTGGACTGGGGATATCTAAGCGCTCAACTCGCAGCGCGAGCTTGGTGTTTTCCCACCCACACTTTCCCTTCACACACACCGCACGCACGCGAAGAGACCTTGGAATTGACGCGAAATTTCTGCCAAAGAAATAAACCCCCCACTCGTCACATGGCGAAAGGCGCAAAAGGAGCACGGATTGCCGCTGCTCCATACTTCCCAGACCAGGCAAACCCAGCCACCCCGGGCCCAGGCGTGTAAATTACCACCGAGTCCGACCAACGTGCGGAGGTCTCTGAGTGCATGCAATTTGGGACCTCATACGATTTCCAAGACTTTTACCAGTCAGTTGGTCACGGGTTTTACTTGAAAATTGCAAAAGATCGCTCATGGCATGCTGTCAACGTTTTCTAACACCTGCCGGCGTCGGAGCTACAACCCAGAGCGCGAACCCGAGTGACGATCTTCGGGTCGTGTAAAACCCCCCCTCTCCCTTTGAGAATCCTGTTTTGTGTGTATTACGTGGTCATCAAATTTTGCGTGTCCTGTCTACGTAGTCAAATTTGCCCGACACAATCAATTTTCGAGTTTCCTCCCAGTATGCGTACACTCACCTAGCTGCCCCCTGCCCAGGTCTCTGCTAGTTCTCACCTTCCAGGGCCTGGTCATTGTGAATCTCAATCTGGCGGGTGTCCTCGTGCTGCGCTCCATCGCAGGGCAACATCACAGCCTCGTCGTCCGATGGGAGGGGAACATCCTCCGCGCGACACCCTGCAGACTCAAACAATTCATCCAGACCATATGCCTCAACCTCAATCGCATCAGGATCACCCGCAATGGCATGAAACTCACCATCCCCAGCAGCGCCAGGCGCATCCTCCCAAAACTCCATAACAATGTCGCCGTCATCCCGGCCCACAGAGGTCTCCTCCTCGTCCTCCAGGTAAAACAGCAACTGCTCAGCATCATACTTGCCCAGCCACTTGCCCTCGGTGCACCGCTCCGCGTGCTTCGGTCCAAAGAACTCGGCCCAGATCTCCGCGAACTCGGCGTCGAAGATCTTGAGCAGCAGCACCTCCTCCGGCTCCGCGACGAACAGCTCGTCGCACGCCTCGCACGGCGCCTCGGCGATGTGCGCCAGGTCGCTGTCGTCAAAGTGCGTGACGATGCGCCCGCACGAGCCGAAGAAGCACATGCACCGTGCCGGCTGCGCGGCGCCGCACACCTCGCGCCGCGACACGACCACGTGCTCGCGCCGGCAGCCCTTCTGGGGCACGCCGCACGCGGCGGCGGTGCAGATTGCGGAGATGATGTACTGGATGCACATGGCAGCGAAGATCTCTGGGGGGTTTTCCGGGGGGAGAAGTCTGTGCTGTGGTGGTAGTGTGAGTAATAGCGCGGGTTCGTTTATGCCGTCGTATTGTTAGCCGAGATATGTGATGCGACGTGTTGTTGCGTTCTGGTTTGGTGAGAGCAGGGGGATTTGCCATCGGACGTGGGCCGATTTAAGTACGGGAGCGCAGGTTGATTTGGCCATCGTGATAAAGACATTGTGTCGGTGGTGATGTCTTTCTGTGGTGTTGATGGGACGTGCATCGAACACCGAACAAGGTTCTCGTTTGCAAAGAGCAGCATTGTGTCACAGTCAAATGGTTTAATGTCTTTGTCCTGAAATTATTTGCCTTTGCTTATTTCTTAAACAGAATGCTCCTGTGTTTATCACAAATGTCTCTCTGCATCATCGGCTTTCTTCTCTGAATCTTCTGGTGATCCGCACGACGTTCAGAGAAGCATGCCAAGGCAGCCTTGGCAGCGGTCGTCCAAGCTCTTCCAAGCCTCTTGGCGCCACATGGACGCGGCTCCAACCAGAGCCTCAACTCCCCCAACCCTCAGAAAACGCATAGCAGAGACACGTTGTTCTTATTTTTGACAACCCAGGGGAAAAGCATGTTGCGGGAGGATCAACGGGCGTCATACCCCCTTCCCGCGGAACCTAATCGCGGTTCCAGCATCTTGGGTCATGGAACGGTGCCGCATAGCCGTGAGCAGGTGTGCGCGAGTCGGAGAATACTAAGCGCCCCCAAGAAAAAAACGGTTTACTCCCTTCCCCCAACGCCATGCCATGTTGGAACTGCCTGAAAAAGATATATCCCGTCGGTGTTAGGCGAGGCGTCCCGAATCAGGAAACCTCACCCCCGTCCTCCTCCCCGGGGTTCCTCTACTCCGGGCCAATACCACTCGCAGCAGACCATCAAGAAGGGTAGTGACAATCCTCCGTCATGTATTAACCCGAACATGCCCTTGTTCATGATCAGTCACACACCACACCGTTTCCCCCATATCCGTGTAAGCTGCTCCTACGCTCCCCCAACTTTCCCCAACTCCCCCAAAAGACCCCTCGCCCTCTCCGTCCTCTCGTCGTCGTACCCCGCAAAGTGCACCAGCTTCTCCACCGCCAACCGCGCATACCTCCTGCCCGTTTCGACCTCGCCCATGTCTACATAAGCCCGCGCGAGTATGTCGTAAAAGTCGCCCTTCTGCGCCGACAGCCCCTCTTCCTTCAAAATGCCGTCCAGTTCCTCCGCAAGCTCCGCCATGCGCGCCGGCGACGAGCGGAAGACTTTGTTGTTGAGCGCCGACACGATCTCCTGCACCCGTCCGCGGCGGGCGTCGGAGGCGGCCACGGCGGAGGCGGAGCTGCAGAGCGAACATGTGCAGTTGAATCCCCACTCCTGCAGGGTCCGCTGACGGTCTGCGTAGAGCATATTGAGCGGTGAGTCTAGGTATTGGTGTTAGCTTGGCGAGTGCTGGTGATGTACACAGAGGATGGCGTCTCACAACTGATACTCAGCTCTTCTCCTGGCTGAATATCCCGGTACGCCACTACCTCCAAGGCGAGCGTTCGTGGAGAGTACCGAGTCACCGCGCTGTACCATGTAAGCATACAATCTCCTAGTGCCGCGGGACCACCAACTTTGGCCGACAATCGTGGTTGATTCTCTGCTTTCTAGTCAGCTTTCCATTCATCCTTTGTCCAGCAACACAAGGTTCTCCCTACCGCAATGTTTGCGAAAAGCCCATAGTGGCTGACATTGTTGAATGAGGCCGCGAACGTGTTCGTGTGAAGAACGTCCTCGAGCACATGCCCGCCCGTACTCCTCGCGAGCTCAAAGACTCTGATCTGAACCTCCCTCGGCAATCGCACAAAGCCCTCCTCGAGAACCCACAGCGCCTCTCTCGGGTCGATCTGCTCCCACACTTCTGTGGACACGGTCTGTAAGATGGTCGGGTAGTCGCGCATGATGACCTCCCCGGCGCGAATTGTCAAGTTGGCCACGACGCCCAGCTCTTTCCCGGGTATCTTCCGGACCTCGTAGGGCGGGATCCGCGGCGGCAGAGAAGAAGAACCCGGGCTGAGCCACCGAGAATCGACGTCCTCGATCAAACCGAGATCTCCGGCTGCCGTCTCTGGGGATGTGAGGATCAGAACTGCCGAGTCGCCGTGGAAGTCATCCTTGACGAAGGCGCAGTATCTGGATTTTGTCTTGGGACTGGTGCACACCGGTCTATGTGTCCACGGCGACGGCTCCGAGCTTTCGAGGTTCTTTTCTGGATTGTACGGCAGGGAGCATGTCATCTGATGGATTAAAAGATGCAGCGGCCCTGTGGGGTTCCCATCGCACTGCCGAGTTGTTTCGATAGGATGATCTGACGATTGAGCCAATCCACATGACAAGGAGCCTCCTAGAACTAGAAGGAACGAAACGAACAACGTCATTGCGACGAAGAAGAGAGATGAACCCTCAGGAACAACAACATTGTTCTACTCCAAGGCTTCCAAGGACTACCCGTACCCGGGGGCATTCTCTTATGAAAGAACCCTCAACCGTCCGCAGCCGTCGATCACGCGATGGCATCAGTCCTACAGGAAACTTCTCAAGTTGAACACCGTGTCTTGCAGCGCTCTGTCGGCATCAAACCCCTCAAAGGAGGCGTCCCAAACACACCGCGCAGATCAGACATGACCTAGTCAACTCTATCCTCCGGCCCCTGACGCAAGCCGAGCCGGCCCTTCTACAGGTGTAGTTACCGCCGTCACCCTACATCAAGATGAAGATAAGCATCGCATTTAGCCGCTATGCATAGTCGATCGGTTCCGCGGCGGTCTAAAAGCGGGATGGATCCCGTTGTGCAGGAGACGGAGGCTCGCAGGCCGCGATGCCAAGTCTTGCCAAGATGCTTGGTTTTTTGGGGAAATCATGAAGTGAACAGGTGGTCAAGGGGGATTCCCCAAATTGAGAGAGGGGGTGTTTGGGGGCCATGGGAATACGGCGAGAGCTTCTTGGCCAAAGTCTTAGTTTTGGTGAAGGACGGGTGACGAGATCATGAGACGCGTTCATCATCACGTCGCAACTGCTGTATCGGCCACGCCTACGAGGAATTATAGAACGTGGTTTATGCTCGCTGGCTAACAAAAAGTTTAACACTACATCAAGTCGAAGGGAAAGCAAAAAAGATGTGATTTGAAGTCAATCGCTGACGGGAATTGAGCCCGACGTGGCTGGGATGTGTTAGTGATGATGTTGCTGGCTGGTTTGGGATGATGATGGCGCTTACGGGTCGAACCCACAACCTTGAGATTAAGAGTCTCACGCTCTACCGATTGAGCTAGCCGGGCAGGCTGATGTGTGGTTGTTGATATCGTGAGGGCAAGACGGTCAAGAATTCGGTGGAAGTTGTGGGCGGGTCGAGGGCACGATGCAAGCGTATCCACCGTCAACACCAAGCCGGCCCCATCGTGAGAAGATGGGGCCCATCCGGCCCTTCCGGAGACTCCAGAAAACGCGACCAGGGCAATTCGGCCTAGGGACGGAGGAAGAACAGTGGGTTGGCGACTTCCGTGAACGTCAAACTGAGATGAGCCGCCCGCTTGGTGCCTTGGAGGAGTGTCGAGGCTGCGTAGAATGGGATGTAGTAATCCAACAAGAGTAAGTACTTAACAATGGATGTAAGCCCTCAATGATTTGATCATTGGCCTGACGACTTCAGCCGCGTGTCAGAGTCAAATTACAATGTTACACGTATAGGTACACAAACACGCCGGGTATTATCCAGGACATCAGCCTCTACTTCATCCAAGCCGCCCTCCTACTCCTCCACCCTCTCCCGCACCAGTGCCCAACACTTCCGCATCCCCGTACCCATCGACTCGTCCTCGACCTCTTGTACAGAAGCCCATTTGCTCCGCGCATGCGAAGACACAAAGTCCCCAGGCCCGTCCGCCTCAAACAGGTGGACATGCATGGTCAACTTGAGATGCGAAAACAGCCACGGCACGCTGCCCAGCTCCCCGGCATGCCGTAACTTCTCCTTGTTGCCGCCGGCAAGCAGCCCCGACGCATAGGCCTGAGCATCCTTCTTCCGTGACGTTGCTGTGTTGCTGGTCGCAGCGGGGAGTGTATGGCTGGGGAACTCCCACAGTCCGGCAAGCAGGCCTTTCTCGGGGCGGCGGTGGATCAGGAGCTGCCCATCGGCGCGCCGGATCGCGCAAACGAGGGCCTCTTCTTCGCGGACCGCCTTCTTGACGACCTTGAGCGGGAACTTCCTGGCATGGTCGGCGACCGTCTCGAGAGCTTTCGCGCCAACGGTCGGTTGCTGCTTTGGGGATGCGTCGCCCTTGTCGGCGTTCTTGGAGACGAACTTGAACGCGGCGAGGGTGGCTTGCTTCGGCCCGGGCGCCGCAGATTTTGCCCCCTTGACGCCCTTCGTCGGCTTCTTCGGGGGAGTATCAGAGTCCTCACCAGACAGAGAGCCTTCATCGCCGTCTTCCTCGAAAGGCTCGCATATCGAGCACAAGTCCTCGATGTCCTCCACTTTGGGCTTCTTCGACTTGGCAGCAAGCAGGACGCCCTCTGCGTAGGCTCGACACGTCGTCGTGATGGGACACTCGCCGCAGTTCGGTTTCGGCGTGCAAACAGTGCTCCCGAGCTCCATCAGCGCCTGTCCCCATCGTCCGGGCCGATCACTCGTCGGCGCCTCCTCTTCGTCCTTCCCGTCATCACCAACCGCATCCCTCGCCACGGCTTTGACCAGCGCATCCGCAGCAGCCCAGAGTAGATCAATAGTCGCCTTGTCAGTCTTCACGTTCCCAAAAACACCCAACTGCCGGCTCAACACCCGCAACACATTGCCATCAACCATCGGCGCCGCCCTCCCAAACACGATCGCCGAGATCGCGCCGGCCGTGTACCTCCCTACTCCGGGAACCTTGGCCTCCAACTCCGCCGTGTCCGCCGGCATCAGGCCCCTCCACGCCGCGTCCCCGACAACCAGCTTCGCCGCCTCGTGGATCCGCGTCGCGCGCGAGTAGTACCCCAGCCCGCGCCACGCGCTCAACACGTCCTCCGGCTCCGCGGCCGCGAGGTCCTGGATCGTCGGCCACCGCGCCATCCACCTGTTCCAGTAGTCGATCACCACCGCGACGCGCGTCTGCTGCAGCATGATCTCGCTGATCCAAACCTCGTAGGCGCGCTTCTCCAGCGCGCGGCGCAGTTCGGCTGCGTCCGCCACGGAGGCCGGGTCGATCCACGCTTTGCGCCACGGCATGCCGCGGGTCGTGCTAATCGAGTCGAACCATGAGAGCAGCGCGTCCCGGCCCCACCTGCCTGGTTGGCCGTGGAGGAGCAGAGGGCGGTGATATGAGTCTGCGTGTGTTCGGGAGGGAGGCGTGCATGCGTCTTTGCAAACATCTCCTGGGGCCTCAAAGAGCTTGGAGTAGAGCTTGGCCGTGTCAGATTTGCTCGCCTTCTTCGGCCTCTCGACTTTGCGCCGCTTGGGTAGTGGCTCAATGACCTCGTGGCCCTCGTCCTGCTTGGCGTCCTCCGGAGTGAAGTCCGCCTCAGACGCGTCCTTGCGCGCTGCTGCTGGCGACGCCCGCGGCTTGGAAGCGACCTGGCGCGCTCGTGGCTTCGGCGTAGCTTTCTTTGGTTCAAAATCAGGCTCGTCGTCTGCTTGAGCTAGGATCCTCTTGGCTGCCGCAAGCGAGCTTTGTCGCCTAATGACGAAACGCTCCATGATCTGTGTTCAAGAAAATGGCATTTTCAGTGTTGGAAAAATGTCACACCAAGACGCGTCGTAGCACTTTAGCTTTTGGTGTCGTTGGAGACGCGCTGAGTGAGGATGTGGTAGGTGCTCCTTTAGCGCCGATTCGAGCAATCGACCGCTGGAACTTAGATCGCCTCAGGGACTTCGTACCCTTGTCTTGATGTGTCGCTCACTGTAATTTGTTCATGTCATTGCGAAAGAGCGCGCGAATGAGGTAGTTAAGCACAACGAAAAGAAATCATAAAAAACTGACAAGGTGAAGCCAAGGGGCTGAAAAAAGCTTAACAAGATGGTATTGATCAGAACTAACAAAATAACCATCGACTTGCGAACAGCGACGTCAAAAAGGTCCTACCAGGATTCGAACCTGGGCCTACGGAAGGATCTGATGGTAGTCAGAATCCGACGTCCTAACCAACTAGACTATAGGACCGTGATGAAGAGGGAAATCTCCAACAATATGAAGCCATTGCCATTCGACAATAACTCTGTTTCGCTTCCTTCCTCACTATTGGCCGCTTCTAACGTTTCTTATCTCGTTCAAATAGCTTGGGCGTTTCCTTAATTGGTTGATTTAAAGTCTATCGTTGTTGTTGTACCTTGCGGGTTCTAAAAATTACTCAGTCCAGCCATCTCCAGCGCAAGTCATCCAGTTGACTCCGACAAGCTTCAACCCGTGCTTCTCAGCAAACTCAGCCGGCTTCCATGACCGCCTCTGCACAAACTCCTCTCCGCCAACATCGTCCTTCTTCAGGTCAAGACCCTCCGGCTCACGGTAGAGCAGGAACAGGTATCGGTGGGGCTTCGAACTGTGCACAAAATAGAGTCAGCGGCCTTCACTCCAGCCAATGGGAAGGGAACCTGCTCGAAGGCAAAGACTGTGAACACTTACTCATCCTTCGGCCCGGGCCCAAGGAACTCCGTCAACGCCGGTTTCGTCTGTCCGACAACCGCTTCCCCGCTCAGCGGCTGCAGTCCGGGGAGGACCCAGTGGCGCCAGAAGGCGAACTGCGGGTTGTCCGGCGTGGGCGCGTCCGGGTCAGTCAAGAACAGCGTGTAGGAAGCGTTTGAGGGCGCGCCCTCCTCGGCCTCAAAGGAGACGCTCGGCGCGAGCTTGCACTCCCCGGCGCGGAAGAAGTTGCCCGTCTCAACGGCCTTGTCAGCAAACGACACCCCAAGCTTGATAGTGGGCTTGAAGCCTTCTGGGATGAGCGCCGCCGCGGACCCGGGGACGAGCTTGGCTTGCTCCAGGGTACTGGTGAGCTTTTGTGCGTGGTCGGCGAGGGACATTGTGTCGTTCGTGATGTTGGGGAATAACTGAATTGAGGTAGAGAAGAATTTGGAAAGGCTGAGAGGTGGCTTTGATCGCGTTCAAGAAGAATTTCGATGATCGCCTGCGGGCGGATTTGACCCGAGGGCCTAATGCGTGATGACCTACGCGGGGTCAATCGTGGGATGAGGGGGATCGATGCCAGTGGTGGAAAATTGCCAGGGCAGCTGCGCCAGGAGTCTTGGCAGATATAAAGGTGCTCACGCCAAATCTGCCAACGTGTTTTTTCCGAAAGATGCGAAAATGCGACCCAGAGGTTGTTAGTGTTATTTTCAAATGTTACGACTCTGAAGCGATGCTTCATAAAGAATGCCCGTGACCTCTAATAGACTAGAGAATCAAGTATGCATCGTGCTCCACTGAGGTCATGATGACGATATCAATCAGCAGTCCCTTCACTTGCATACCTAACTTCTTGTCAATCTATGACAGAAGAAATGATTCTGAAACTCTGCCTCGCAAGAAAGAGAAATGACTGATTCTTGGGAGAAGGTGGCCCAGCAGCCACATTGAGTTGCGTTTACAAATGCAGTCTCATCGCGTTACGATCTGATGATGTTTGGCAGTGTGTTGCAAGGTTTACGACTCCTGGTCAACGCTATTAACACGTATCAATTATCTTTTGAATTGACTCCCTTGCTCAATCGAGTCTTCTGGGTTGCATTTCCTTCAATACAAGGCATGATGTATCTTGACACGAGGATGTCTTTAGGTCGGAAGAACTGATACATCGACCAAGGGGCTTCTGACCACCGTTACATCAAGAGCTGTTGCGCAATTCGTATTTCAATTTCTGTTGACTGGCTGGTTCTCAATGACATAAATAGCATGCAGAAAGGTCGATGAGTAGTTTTGTAGATGTTCAAACTGGGTTCCATTACTGAAATGTTCACTTCGCTGCAACCACTAGAATCTTGTTGGTGAAGTATTCTTATCACCTTGCACTCTGACGCTAGTCAGCTTGGCTTGATGTTTGATTTTCTAGACTCGTTATATAAGTTCGTCTTAATTGTCTGTTTAACCTGTTGCTCTTGTAAATATAGGCTGGCTTATAAGAAAGACCTTTACACTTAGACTTGCCGCCGCATGGAGATCTTAGTTGTCTTGAGCGAAGTAAAGGGAGTGGGGAGAGTGGATCTTCACAAGCTGCGCACAAGGTAAGCGAGGAAGGGCGGGTGGGTCTTGTCAGTACTTGGGTGTTTTGGCTGGCTAGAATTGTCAACCAATCAGATCTCAAATCCCCGATGGCACAATTGGCTAGCGCGTCAGACTGTTAATCTGGAGGTTGGTGGTTCGAGCCCACCTCGGGGAGTTACAGCGGTTAAAATCCGCCTCAAGTTGAGCTTTTCTTTTTGCTTTTCATGATTTTGTTGATATGTGTTGTGTACAACAGGCCCGTCCGTGATTGAACCGGCAGATTTTATTTTTCCTTATCTTCTTGCATAGTGAGCAGATTATAACGAACCTTTTAGGTTTAAATATTTTAATACCTAGATTGTAAGTATTTAAGCTCTTAATGCAGCAGTCTCTTTTCACTCTTTTGATACCTAGCTTGTGAGCACTGCAGTAAGCCTTTACTAAAGTCTATGATTGCAATAGACTATAAGTAAACTTAAGTCCTGCTCAACTCCCTGATTTTAGCACGTATTTTACTGGAAATTTTCAATTGAAAAATGTACTTTTAATTTAAGGCAATGTGTATCCACCATCAATCACCAGATTGGCACCTGACACCATAATTAGTACTGAAGTCTCTAATATCGAACGAGATACCATACCTGTCATGTAACTGCTTGCGGTGCTGGCGAGGTACACATACGAGCCCTTCAGCTCGGCAGGCTCGCAAAGTCGGCCTCCGGGAATCATGGAGAACCATTGCTTCCTCCACTCTTCAGGATGCACCGAAAGCACTGCATCCGTCAGCAAACCGGTGATCAACACCAGAGCAGAAGTACTCACTCTCCGTCGCAATAAAGCCAGGAGATACGCAGTTCACCCGCGCAAAGTCAACCCACTCCACCGACAAAGACTTGGCCAGGTGCACCACCGCAGCCTTGCTGGCGTTGTAAGCCGCCTGCCTCTGCGGCACATTCACCAAAATAGCCGACACTGACGCGGTGAAGATGATGCTTCCACGTCCGTCGCTGCCCGCCTTCAGCTGCTTCTCAAACACCTTGGCCGCCGCCTGCGCAGTCCAAAATGCACCGTGGAAGTTGACGTCCAGCATCTCCCGGAATCTGTCCTCGGGGTAATCGATAGCAGGGATATGATCCGCAATGCCGGCATTGGCCACGACGATGTCCAGCTTTCCGCCGCCGACCTCTTTCGTCGCGGCCTCAATGACGGCCTCAACTTCAGACCGCACCTTAACATTGCACTTGTACGCCTTCACCAACACGCCGTTGCCAGACTTGGACAGAGCAGCGGCCGTGGCATCAGCCTCCTCCGGGGGCGTGCTGGTGTACGTGATGGCAACCTTGGCGCCGGCCTCGGCGAGACCGCGGGCGGCTTCGAGGCCGATGCCTCGGGTGCCACCCGTGACGATGGCCGTCTTCCCGGCGAGGTCGAGATGGGAGGCGACCGGCGCTGCGGGGTTCGGGTGGCTCGGGAGGACCATGTTTTCTGCTGCGTTTGGGGTATAGATTCGGGAATGAATGCAAGTCCTTGATACTTGGTGATCTTGTTCGAGCCGAATGGTCTGACTATGGACCAGGGCAGAGACACCAGGCAAGTGCCGGGGGATTTTGTACCGGGCCATTTGCGGGAGGGGTGGGTCCGGCCGCCGTCGTGGCTTTTGGCGGCGAATCAGGCAATCGGTCGACTGTCGTCCGGAGCGGAAGGGGTTGCTTCGGTGCGGGGAAACTGGGGAAGCGGACATCTGCCACCCCTGTCCGAAGGTTGGGCATGCCGGGACACTTGCGCACCTGACCGCAAATGCTGATGTTTGCTCAGGATTAAGCTAGCTTGATATCAGAGGGCTCATTGACAGGGGACAAGCAACTTCGATCAATTTCTTCGGGAAAGTCCAGGGTGACATATGTTCATGATCATGGTCATCTTCGGCAAAGTCAGAGGTCTGCTTTCAAACACAACAGACACACATTTTTTTCAATAGGTCTAGGCTTGGCATTATGAATTCGACATTTCAGTTGACATAAATACTTCACGACGTGAATGACAACCTTCTTAGGTATGGTGCGACTGCAGATATCTATGACACAAGGCGAAATAGGTTCATGTTAAGGGTCATGCCAGATAGATCAACGTTGTGCTACGACCGCAAACATTTTATCATCATGATGTTTTTATTCTTCATCTATGCTAGCCTCTATTTTGGTACACCTTGGATGACGACCTTCAAAGTGTCCTCCTTCGCCTGCCTTACAACCTCAAAGGCCTCGACGGCCTCCTCGAACTTGTAACGATGAGTGATCAACTTCCTTGGGTGGACCTTTCCTGACGCTACCAAGTTCACAGCCTCAGGGTAGCATCCCTTCGTGTACCTGATCGAGCCCTTGATGTTCAATGCACGAATACAAGCAGTGGTGATGGGGAACACGACATTCTGAGTCAAGTTAGTGGACTGCCCGCAAATGCCGACTGAAGTTCGCTTACCTCCTTGCCCATCCCGGCTTGCACATAAGTCCCACCCTTCTTGGTAGCAAAGACACCAGCCTGAATGCACGGCTCAGCACCCGTGCACTCCAAGACCACATCAGCACCCTCTCCGAGACCGTAGTCCCTGAGAATCTTCTCACCAATGGCGCGAGAAGCATCAACAGGATCCTCAGGAGCATCGGGGAGCTTCTTCGACACATAGACATCATCAGCTGCAAAGTCCTTGGCAAACGCCGCGCGAGACTCAGAGATGTCCACTCCAATGACCTTGCTCGCACCGTAGGCCTTGGCCACGGCCTGGCAAAGAACACCGATGGGTCCGCAGCCGAAGACAAGCACTGTTTGGCCGCCCTTCAGCTCAGCAACCTTGCAAATCTGCACCGCAACAGCAACCGGCTCCACCAGCGCGCCGTCCTCGGAAGTCATGTGCTCCGGGATAGGATAGGTGTAGTCGCCGGCAACGATGTAGTACTTCTGCAGGGTACCATCCCATGGAGGTGTCGCCGCGAAGACGGTGTCTGCACAGAGATTGTATGCGCCGGCTCTGCAGTGATCGCAGCTTTGATGAGTTAGAACGTGCCTATTCTCAATGTACATTACGGTGGAAACTCACTGCCTGCATGGGACACCGGGCTCAATAGCAACCCGGTCGCCGAACTTGACATTCTTCACCTTGCTTCCGACTTCAACAACGGTTCCGGCACTCTCATGGCCGAGAACGATGGGCGACTCGAGGATGAAGTCACCGATGCGGCCGCGCTGCCAGTAGTGGACATCGCTGCCGCAAATGCCCGTCTGCTCAATGTGAACGCGGACATCGTACTCATCTCTGAGCTTGGGAATCTCGCGATTCTCGAACGAGACGTTCTTGATGGAGTGGAGCACGAAGGCAGGGTTCTGCGGAAAGTTAGCGTTGGCTGCGAAGCCAGGGTGTTGATAATCTGGCTTACGATTTCGGACATCTCTGAGGTATGGTAAGCTTAATTTCGGTTCGAACCCTGATGGCAGTGAGACTTGGGATATCGTCGATTCGCTTGAGCTCTACCAAGCTTGGAAGCATCTTATTTGTGCAGGTGGGAGACGGCCGTGACGTCGACGCGGGGTACTGCGGCGCCGGCCGGAGCGGGGCCGCCGCCAAACGCCGAGCTGAGTCGGGCGACTGTTGCCCGATGTGCGCCAATCAGCATGCCCCGCCCTCCGCTCGAGTACCATTTGTCCTCTTGCCTTCCCATCCGGATATTTCTTGGACTCGATTCGTTGGTGTGCCATTATTGGCTTTGCTAGGGTCAATGTTACCGCTCTGAGGCGCCCATCAACAGCCTGAGAAGTCCAGACCACACCCACAGCGTCACCATGGAATCCACCTACCAATCACTGGTCCAACGCATCCTCTCCAAATGGGAAGAAAAGAAGGTTTCCTCTTCCAGCGCCCCGGATACCCATCCCCGTCTAATTATCGCGCTGGCGGGGCCACCGGGCTCCGGCAAAACGACCATCGCTCAACACGTTGTCTCCGCCATCAACAACTACCCTGGACCCCACCCCAAATCCGTCGTCATGTCCGCTGACGGCTTCCACCTACCCCTGGCAACACTCCGCGCACTTCCAAATGCTGCGGAAGCGATCGCCCGGCGCGGCGCACCGTGGACCTTTGACGGACAAGCTGTCGTTGAGATCGTCCGCGAGCTGCGGACGTCTGCAGGCCACCGGCCGGTCTTGGCGCCTACATTCGACCACAAAGTCAAAGACCCCGTCATTGGCGGGTTCACGGTGGATGCCGATGTCGACGTCTGCATCGTTGAAGGAAATTACTTGCTTGCGGACGAAGAGCCTTGGGGTCAGATTGCTCCGCTGGTGGATGATCGTTGGCTGGTCAGAGTTGAGTCGGCACTGGCCCGTGCAAGGGTTGCGAAAAGACATGTTGCAGCCGGTATTGAGGACACTATGGAAAAGGCATTGCACAGAGCAGAGACTAATGACATGGTCAATGGGGAGTTTGTTGCTAAACGGAGCGAAGGTAGATATGATCTCTTGATTGATAGTGTCGAGGAGTTACCAAATTAGCGACTAAGACTAGAATACCATTTCACGTTGACTCGGCTCGTTTCATGGGTAGCATGCAAAGTTCTTGGCACGTAATGTGTGTCGGTGAGGGTGAGAGCACTCCGCCCGGAACATATGCCTGCAGCTTACGGTGCGGGCCACCCGAGCCAACGTCCGGGGATGACTTCGAAGAGCTTGGCATGATCTCTCGGGTACCAAGTAGGTCTCGAGCAGAAATCACGCATGACTTCTATTTGAACCCTAGTCGCAGAGTATCGATAGACATAACTCCCATTCCAAGATTACACCCATCTCCTTCGTAGAGGCATCAGCACACTGTCTACAGTAACACAAGTCTTTCTTTGATACCCATATACAGAGTAATCCCAACTCCTATCACCATGTCCACAAACGGCACAACAAACGGTACGAGAAAGTCTATCCGGGCTCCCAACCCTCCTGTTCAAGACAGCGTCTTCAAGCAATTCCGCCTTGATGGACGCACCGTCATCATCACAGGTGGAGCAGGCGGCATTGGTCACGAGATCGCCAAGGGTCTCGCCGAAGCCGGCGCCAACGTACGACCATCCTGACCGTATTCCCCTGAACATCGCACATGGCTAAACCTCTCGCAGATCGCTATTTGGTACCACACATCCTCAAAGGCAGCCAACTCACTCACCGAGGCCCTCATCAAGGACTTTGGCGTGAAGTCAAAGTCCTACCAGGTTGATGTCCGCAACTACGCTGCCGTCGAGGCCGCTGTAGCGGAGGCTGTCAAGGACTTTGGCCGTCTGGATGTCATGATCGCAAATGCTGGCGTGCCCTCCAAGGCAGGTGGTCTCGACGACAAGGTCGAGGACTGGGACCACGTCCGCGCAGTGGACTTTGACGGCGCGTACTACTGCATGAGGGCGGCTGGCCTGGTATTCCGCGAGCAGAAGAGTGGCGTCGGAATCATCACGGCGTCCATGAGCGGCCACGCCGCGAATGTCCCGCAGGAGCAGAGCTGCTACAACGCATGCAAAGCCGGAACCGTAAGTTCGATTTCGTTCGTCTGACATGCCACCGCCCGGACTAACACCGAGCTTTTGCAGATTCACCTGGCCAAGTCTCTGGCTGTCGAGTGGGCTAAGTGGGGAGGCCGCATCAACTCCGTCTCCCCCGGTTACATTGATACGGCCATCTCGGGTGACTGCCCATTCGAGATGAAGGAGGAGTGGTTCAGCCTGACGCCGCTGCGCAGGGATGCTGATCCGAGGGAGTTGAAGGGCATCTACCTGTATCTCGCCAGTGATGCTAGCTCTTACACTACGGGGGCTGACTTTATCATCGATGGTGGCTACACTGCTCGGTAGATATCTCATGCTAGGTAATAACAAAGCGTTCGCACTAAAAGTTTCTCACGTTAATCTGGTTGGGCACTGAGAGCTCTTGCAAGAATCGACTATGCGAACTGAACCTACGTGTTCCCAACTACATATGCTCAATTTACTTCAAAAGATTGGATTTAAAACATACTACAGCTATGAGTTTTGTGGTAGATTTGAGGTATCCTGCATATAAAACTATGCATAAAAATCAAGAAAGAGCAGATGTTGCGTTTGTAAGAAGCACTTCGGTTGTAGAGGCTTTGAAACAGTAGCTTGACTAAATTACCACGGACGAACGTATCCGGCTGATGATCATTCAAGAACGTTGCTATCCGTTTGAGTCTTTTCGACTTTGATGATTTGCACCTCTAGTTCTCTAGAGCAGAGCCCTGCTGTGGATCAGACAGCAAACTTTAGAGCTTCTTCGCCGGCACACAACTTCGTGCCTGCACGTTCATGCACAGTCGTATGACTTACACAGTTGTTTTCCAAGTAGAAACTGCACATTGCGTTCTTCAAACCCGATAACCAGCGAAATCCACTTTCATTCTGGCTTGCGTGTGCACTTCACAAGTTCCCAAGAACACCCGGCCTCTTGTGGGCCAGATCCCAAGCGAGCATGGACGATGTCCGAGACCAAACGCCGGTCTCCGATAACAAAGAACAATCATCACAGCCATCGTCAACAAAATCCAACTTTGAAGACATCACGATGTCGCAACAGGTCCCGGTTCAACCCCGTCCTCACCCGATCATCGAAAGATCCCAGCAGCCGGGCCTCGCTCACCCCTGCCCAGCCTTCCACGCATGCGTCTTATTGCCGGGCAGAGCCTGCACGGGCTAGGCACCATCAGCCCCCGTCTAGTGAGGTTTTTTAGTGAGGGTGACAGTCGTCCGTCGTCCCCGCACTGCCAAACAGCCGCTCTGGGAACGTTCTCTCCGCAAACATGACTCGTGGGCAAACAGATGCAGCACCGCAAGCACGATGATGCAACAGGTCGCACCGCGCTGTACCCCATGGGCCAAACCCCCCCCCCCCCCCGTATTCCACCGACCCATCAACCACGTTAATGTGGGGTAAGAGGGAACATGCGGAGTGGCTAGCTGGGCGCGGAGGTTCCAATTACCAGCCGTCTGGGTGAGTGAGCGTGTCAACATCACGCTACCTGGGAATCATCACCTCGTTCCTCGTCCATGTAGATATAAATCTCCTGCGGGACCCGCATGATCTCGCATCGGGCAATTCCCTTCGAGCCTTTTGGTTTCTCATCAAGTTCGTCCCAATTTGGATGTCTTCATATTCTTGTTAGTCGATGCCAGGCACGCGACCTCGGATTTAAGTAGGTAAACATGAAAGACGAGCAGATTGTCGGCGCCGCTTTGGCCGAGGTCCTCCCCAAGATCGACAAGTACTGGTTCCAGCAATCACATCTGTTGAGGTTGAACCTGCTTCTCTTGATTCCTCTCTTGTCATCGTCGGTTGCCGGATATGATGGTAAGTTGCAAAAGCCTCTCGCATAGGTCTGCCAGCGTCTAATAGGAGCAAATCACAGGATCGTTGATGAACGGGCTGCAGTCGCTCCAACAATGGCGAGAGTATTTCGGACATCCAACCGGTGTGAAACTGGGCGTTGTCAATGCCGCGCAATCAATCGGATCTGTTCTGGCTCTTCCAATCATCGGATACCTCGCGGACCGCTTCGGCCGAAAGCCTGTCCTCCTTTCGGGCATCATCCTCATCATCGTTGCGACGATCATCCAGTCGACCTCGATCAACCTGCCGATGTTCATTGTCTCTAGACTCGTTGTCGGATTTGGAGGCATGTTCGTGGTCCATCCAAGTCCACTGCTCATTGCAGAGTTGGCTTATCCGACACACCGCGGAAAGTACACCTCGGCATACTGGACTATGTACTACCTGGGTGCGTCTGAAGACCGATACAAAACATTGAATGACAAAGATTCTGACCAGGATTTCTCTAGGTGCTATTCTAGCTTCATGGACTACATTCGGCTGCCAGGATTACACTACCGAATGGTCGTGGCGAATTCCCAGCATCCTCCAAGCTGGCTTCCCCATCGTCCAGCTCTGCTTCTACTTCATGGTCCCGGAGTCCCCCAGATGGCTCATTGCAAAGGAGAGAACAACCGAAGCAGCTGCAATTCTCGCTCGATACCACTCCGGCGCGCAAGACCCAACCGAGGCCCACACACCCCTCGTCCGCCGCGAAATCGCCGAGATCGTACAGACAATCCGACAAGAAAAGCTGGCGGAAACCACCGGCTGGGCGTCTCTTGTATCCACCTCAGGCAACCGCAAACGGACCCTGATCGCCGTATTAGTCGGCGCAATGGCTCAGTGGAATGGCATAGGTGTGGTGTCGTACTACCTGACTTTGGTGCTGAACACCGTGGGCATCACCGACACATTCGACCAAACACTCATCAACGGCCTCCTTCAAATATTCAACTTTGGCGCCGCTCTCAGCGCGGCATTCCTTGTGGACCGTCTCGGTCGGAGAACTCTCTTTCTCTGGTCAGGGGTTGGCATGTTCATCTCGTACATCGTCTGGACCGCCTGCTCGGCCGTCAACTCAGACACGGGCTCCAAACCCGCGGGAATCGTCGTGGTCGTCTGTCTGTTCACGTTTTACTTCCATTACGACATTGCGTACACCCCGCTTCTCATGGGATATCCTACCGAGCTCTTCTCGTACTCGCTGCGGTCTAAGGGTATTGCGGTAGAGCTGCTTGCGATCTACGGTTCGCTCATCATCCAGGCGTTCGTCAACCCCATCGGAATGGAGAACATTGAATGGAAGTATTACATTGTGTTCTGTTGCCTCTTGGCGGTCTTCCTGTTCATAACGTGGTACCTCTTCCCGGAAACAAAGGGACATAGCTTGGAGGAGATTGCAGTCATCTTTGATGGGCCACAGGCTGTTGAGAACTTTGAGGGCAGCTCGGACATCAAGGAGGAAAAGATTCTGGCTAGTGGCGGTATAAGCACTGCGGTACATAAGGAGGAAGCCTAAGGGGTGTGTTGTCTAGTTGATCTATCTTGTAAAACTACCAGATATTAAAAGGATGTTTAAATTTTTGAGTTCTGCAAATATACCAAGATCAAAAGTCCATTTCACAATGGTTCACGATTATATGTATCCGCAACCAGCTCTTGGGACTCAAGTTCAACATTGAAGCCGTCTCAAACCCTTCCTAACATCGGTCTGAAAACCTTCATAGACCTGCAGAGGCAACTTTCAGCTATTCTCGATGAAATCCAACAGCCGATAGCATTGCCCGAGCCTTTTGTCCCGCCAAGCTGCTTCCCCGGCCCATCGTGCCCGACTAACACCGGCGGAGCTCGGATTACAAGGATGTTTGGCCCAGGCCCCCTGATCGCGATCAGTCATATTGTGGATCACCACAGCGCAAGCGTGTGGAGAAAATGGCGGGGTTCATGCACCTGGAGACTCGCTGGAGTTGAATGTTGGAGAGGACCGCCTGGGGGCCGCGCTACCCAATGTGAGAAGCAACAGAAACAGCCTCCGACCTCGTCCGATCCGCAGCCACCACCATCAACCCACACCACAAACGTCCACTCCTCCTCATTCCCGTGTCTCCTTGCTGCATGCTCGAATGTTATGACGGCCAGAGAACGGACGACAACCGCCCTGCCTCCGAAAGCCGGCCAACGTCACTCCGGGACCGCCAAGTGCCAAACATCAGCCTGGATCGCGATCCCCAAACTACCACCCCTGAATGCGGGAGGCTGTCGAGCTGTCTTGGGCTAAACCTGTCTCGGCCCTTGAATCAAACATAATGTCATTATCGGGCCCCATCGGCGACGACCCGGCCGGCTCACTCCCTCCGGACCCGGCCTCCGTCAGCATGGCCTTTGCATCTGCCGATCAGGCATGCAAGGAGTGCAGGCGGCGCAAGGCCAAGTGCAACCGGGCCATACCGACATGCAACCTGTCAGTGACGAGCCTCTAAAGGTATCAGCCCATACTAACATTGGGAACAGCTGCGTAAAGTACCGGCGTCACTGTCTCTATGAGAAGCATGCTCGGACGCCATTGACCAGAAAGTATGAGTAGCTTGCAGGGGGAGGGGATGTTGGTGGTGTGGCCAGTTGTGCTTGTCTCAAGAAACTTGACTTACACTTTTTATGCAGGCACCTCACCGAGGTTGAGGAGAGGTTGGAGCGGGCCGAGGCACTCATCACACATATGCGGACTCTGCTTCCGACCAACACCAGGCCGGGCTCCTCCCTAGCCACGCCCGGGAGACCCGAGCCACCGGCTCCGCGTGTCGATGAGCCTTTTGACTTCTCGAAGTTGGATTCGCCGGACGAAGCCGGCGCCAATGTCCCGTCATCACAACCTCTGCCTATTGAGGCAGATCTTGGCGCGCTTCCGCTTAGCGATCCTGAGCCGGCCCATCAACTCCAACCAGCCCGGGCTTCTGTCTCGCGACATGCAACTTCATCATCCGCGCCGGGGTTGCACACAACCTCCAACATAGCCCGTCCTCAGCGACAGAATCATCATCATCACCCAGCAAACGACATCGCCCACCGAGACCTCAACCTCCTCGAAGCGCACCCCACAGATGACTTCAAGTGGGACGAGCAGGAGACCCTAACAAACTACTCCGCCTCCCCGGAAGCGATCCAAGAGACAGACTCCAATGGCGAGGCCACCATCGCAGACGGCATGGCAACCCTCGCCGTCAGCGAGAAGGAGTCCGGCTACCTCGGTGTCGCCTCCGGCGCCGCCCTCCTCCGCCTCCTGGAACCCTCGACCCCGCGCCGCAGAACCCAGTCCTCATCCTCGCGCGCAGGCCCCGTCAGCCACATGCAATACGCCCTCACTCCACAGCCAGATCCCAACAGACACATCACCGACGCCATGATAGACGCCTACTTCCGGCTCTACCACGTCAGCTACCCCATCATCCACGAGGCGACCTTCCGCGCGCAGTACGCCGGCGTCATCCCCCGCCCCAGCGGCGACTGCTGGCTCGTCCTGGCGTACACCGTCGCCGCCATCGGCGTCTACACGACGGCCACCACCCTCGACAACCTCGACATGTCCCTCTTCGCGCAGGCCCGCTCGATCCTGTCCTTCAATTTCCTCGAGGTGGGCAACCTGACGCTCGTCCAGGCGCTCACCCTCATCTCCAACTACCAGCAGAAGAGAGACAAGCCGAACTCGGGGTACAACTACCTCGGCCTCGCCGTGCGCATGGCCATGGGCCTTGGGCTACATAAAGAGTTCCAAGGCTGGAACATCTCGCCCCTGAACATGGAGATCCGCCGACGCGTGTGGTGGTCCCTATGTGTCTTTGACGTCGGCGCAACGATAACCTTCAGCCGGCCCTCTGTCTTTCCATCTGAGGGTGTCGATGTCTCCCTCCCCCTCAATGTTGATGACAAGGTAGAACCACGCCCGCTAAACGATCTTAAGAGCATCCGCTAACAACGACCACAGTCCCTAACCGCAATCTCCAAGTCCTACCCGCCCGAGACGGAGGGTATCACGCCATACACAGCAGTCCGGACCCAAGCATCTTTCCACATCGCCACGACCCCAATCTACACCCGCGTCATCTCCAAACCCCTCCCCTCCGCAGACGAAATGCTCCGTCTGGACCAGGACCTCCTCGAGCCCTGGCTGTCCAGCATCCCCCCCTACTTCTCCGAAGCAGCAACGAACCCTCCCCCGCCGCCCAAGTACGCCCTCGCCCACGCCGTGATGAACTGGCGATACCGCAACCTGCGCATCATAATGTACCGCCCCTTCGTCATCCGCCGCGCCCTCCAAGCCCGCGACAGGCGCGCAGACGACTCCCCCTCCAACACCAGCGCCTACGAAAAGTGCCTCGCCGACGCAAAGGCCACGATCACCAGCATTAGCGACTTCTGGGACCGCAACGAGCACAACCGCCTGGGCGCGTGGTACGCCCTGTACGTCCACCCCACACCACAAGCTCCCTTCTCTGTCTGATCCTAATCCCCCGTGTAGGTACTTCCTCTTTCAAGCCGCTCTGATCCCCTGCATCTGCCTCCGCAACGACCCAACCTCCCCCAACGCCGCCGACTGGCGGCACCAAGTCACCACGACCACGCGCTGCATCGCTGCCCTCGCGCCCGTGAACTCGAGCTCCTCGCGCTGCTACCAAGTCATAGTCGACCTCTGCGGCCGCTTCCTCGACAGCAGCGTCATCGCCAGCCACGCACCGCCCGCTGCTCCGCCGTCCACCGCTGCCCAAGAAGCACGTTCGACGCCGAACTACGACGCTCTTGAGGTTGCCTCTGAGCCCATTGACGAAAGTCCGCAGACGCAGATCAACAGCGTGTTCTCGATGATGTGGCCCAATGTGCCGCCCATGGAGGCGGCGGATGTGGTTATGGGCGACGATGCGTGGATGGAGTTCTTGAAGGGCGGGAGCGGCGGCGATGGGGATGGCATGTGGTTCGAAAGTTAGGGACATGAGTACTCCTGATCATACTCACCCTTCTGAACATGAACACAGAACACGGGCTTCTCAACTTAGCTAGCACCATCTATCCGTTCTTTGATCTGAAAGACCTGACATCAAGCAATCCCGTCCAAATACAGCAAGTTTTCCCTTCAAAATTGTGTCCCTTCATATTGACAAATGCGCCAATCAAGCTTCGAAACACACAGACTCATCTTGTGTACCATCGTCGGATCCTGGATCTCTGGTGACAATGCGCAAAGCAAAATGGACGTCATCCCAGGTAGTCTCTGAGATGGACAGAATCTGCGCCGAACGCCCAATCGGCGACTTCTTGTCCTCTACCAGCTTGCATATGCATCGACAGAGCTTGTCCTTCCAGTCTCGTCCCACAAGCGCTTGAGTCTGGCTATCGACGAGCCCACCGCTTTTCCATTCCTTGAACGCCCCATAGAGAAACGGCTTACGATCGGTGAAGAGATCTTTTAACTCGAAATGCTGGGTTTTGGAAGTACTCTCACGGCTCGAATTTCTGATCCTCGCAAACAGTTCCATAACAACGTCCTGCTTGTCTCGTGCGCATTTGGTGTGGGCGTTCAGCAACTCCCCGATCCTGAAGCACGTCCGCAAGGTAATCGTGGTTGAGAGACCAACGACAACGGATCGGTCTCTCGTCTTTTTGGGGAAAGGAGGCCTGGTGATGGGAGTCATGCTCGATGACGCGCTGGGATTTGGACTGACAACACCGGTGTGCTTTGCTTCGGCAGGGGTCGTTGTGGCCTTCGTTGCACATGCTGTCACAAGATCCCAGTCGACATCCTCGTCTAGAAGATCAGGCTGCTCGTACGTGTTCTTGAGATGTGCATGTTGACTTTCCGCTGGCGTGGAATGCTGCAACCGCGAATCGTAGCTTCTGGCCGATCTTGAATCACTGTCCGTTCTTTGCGTGACACTCGACGGTGGAAGTCTTGAAGGGGTGTCGCCTGAAGCTTCCACCAGCTGAATCATGGCCTCATCGTCAGAATCGTCCAGACCGTAGTCATCCTCAAGGGGAGGAACGTCTTCTGCAGGAGCGTCTTCTGCAGGAGCGTCTTCTGAAGGAGCGGGTACCAATTCACTGGATGCTTGCTCTATGTGTTGACTCGACAGCTCCTGAGACTCGCTATCGTGATGACCGTCGAGCGCCTTGACAGTATCGTCGAGCCCTTGGACGCCGCCATCCAGGTCGACGAACTCGTCCATCCAAGAGTCATCCGAGGGCAGCTCCGAGGGCAGCTCCGTGGGCTGGACATTCGGAACCAAGGATGCAGATGGTGTCTCGGGTATCTCGTATGGCGACAGCGGAGTTTGGGTTTGAAACAAGTCTGACGGATGGTACGTGTGTGCAGCCTCAGCGGGAATATCGTCCACCGTAGAGGAGGAGGCAAGCACGGCGGAGGCATGATATTTGTCTCCATCGAGCTCCGGCGCTGTCGCGGCAGAGTTCACAGCGACACGTTTGGCCGGAATCGCGTTTGTGGCAGCGGATGTGGGCGTCAACGGTCGTTTGGGGCCGTTGATAGGGGTGAAGCATTGCTTGGTGACATTCAAGTTGAGGTGGCCACCACTCTTTCGGCTAGAATAATGTGAGAATCAACCCACCAGACATAGGTAGGTAGGAAGAGTACTGACCCGCCCCTTCGACTAGCCATTGTGAGAATCGAGTCTTGCCAAGTGCATCAACGTCGAAGTCAACGCAATCATCTAGGAGCTGATGAACGAGAGAAAGTGCTTGCAAAGAATTTTTCAGATGGGCGAGGCGAAAATCTTTCTACTTGGCACAGAGTATGTGGAAATGGAAAGAACTTGTTTGGGGCTCCTTCCATCAGGCAAGAGCATTTTTGAGGAGTGCCTTCCAAGGAAGGACCATACCAACGCTGTTTCCCTTTGAGGAATTACCACCAGCACTCCTTCTTCCACAATCTTCTCAGCTACCGCGGACTTCTTCCAACCATTTACAATATCATCTTTCTTTCCTTTTTCAAATTCCGTGCCAGATGACGGCAATCACCTGAGCAAAACACGTTGGTTGTTGATGATGCTGACGATAACTTCTTCAGTATCCGGCAAGTACTATCTCGAATACACAATGACGTGGTCAGTTATGTTGGCCAAGAAGTCCCCTTCGTTGGCAAAGACAACAAGCGTCACCTCAATTCTGAGAAAGATCACATGCGCGGGTCTTGGACCCTTATCAGCGGCAGCTACGCCTGAGACTGGGTTCGTCCCACTGGGGAACAGGTAGAACACTTGAAAGCATAGTCTGGAGCACATGAACTCCACTTCCTTCTCTAAAGCTTTAGGGGACGTGGCTCGTGATGCCTTCGTCGACGCTTCGGAGAGATAAAAGTTGGCTGGCCGTTGTAGGTGTGTCTCCCCCACGCCAGCCAACTTACACTCGCACCGGGGTGGACCAGGGAGGGATACAACGAAGAAGACAAAAAGAACATTTAAACTGACATCTGGAAGACACCATCAGACTGCATTCTCCGGCATCCCGGTAAACACATGGGTTGCTTCTCGAAAACGGGCGCCGAGGCCAAGTCACGGAGCTATTCGCAACCCCGTGGCCCGGACCGCAGAACGGAGGCACAGGAAGGAAGTGACATCAACGCGCAGCAACCCGTCAGACCCGTGGCCAAACGGCAACATGTCCAAATCTCTGCCCTCCCTTCCGTATCTCGATTCCGTTATCGAGACACGATGGCGCCGCATCGGTGTCGATGAAGGCATTCACAACCGGCTACGTCAGAGAGCACATGCTCTATAGAGAGGACCCCTTCACCTGTTTGCCCAGATAAGCGGCCATGGTGAACTGTCTCAACGCCACGAGCCGCGCTCCGCCTATCTCCCCCAAAGACAGCGCAAACACCGCAGCGAGGGAGTCTCAGGTGAGGTAGGCTAAAGCTAGGCGCGGAGGGGAGGGGAGGCAGAAGACTGGGAAAGACGTGTTGACACCTGGTGCCTCGGCCGCGCAGTTGTTGATGGGCACTGCCGACGGCCAAAGAAGAACGCCCAAGGCCGCTGCGGTGATGTCAGTTTCTAGTCAGGTGAGCGTGGAATACCTTGGGCAGGGGGGGAGTGGTCTTTGGTTGGCGTGTTTTTGGCTAGCTCCGGGGATGTTGGGCCATGTGGTTCCGGGGGTTGGACAGCCTTCTTAGTGCGCGCCTGAGGTCCATTTGCTGTGGAGGGAGGATGCAAAGTGTAAAAGCCGCACAGATGGAGGATCGCGTTAGTGCCGGCTGAAAATAACACTTTGATTTTAATCCGGTGTTTTCAAATAATATTCTTTTTCATTATCAGAAAATATTCCGAATAAACTGAAACCTAGAGAACAAACAAAGAATACCCCGAATACACGCCATCTCTCCCCTCTTTCCCCGGACGGGCTGTGTTGAATTAGTCACCTCGATCGCGGGGATGAGAATGAGATGACACATGCCGGAGTTGGCGGGTAGATGACTAACCGAGACTTTCTGTTTCCAGCTCTGCCTTGCCCAAAGCTACCGCCTGTAGCCGCGGTCTACAGCGGACGTCCATGCTAGACGCCCATTGAGGGCGCCCGAAGGCCGCGCATTCCCACGATCCGGACGACGATGCTCGCTCTCCGTCGCCCAATTGATCGCAGCTGAGCCACCAGGAACAACTTGCCTCGCTGGTTTACGAAAGGTTACTGGACTCCCTCGGATATCACGGTCAGCCACTCCCATGCGCTCCAGCAGGGGCTGGTGCTTGCTTGTATCAATCCCTGAGGCGGTGCTTCCGGCTCCCTCCCCAATGAAGTTCAAAGTTGCAAAAGCGACGAGAGCTGCGATTGAACGAACAATAACACGACGCAAGCACAGCCTAGTCATCACCATCATCACTCTCGTCGTCCATCATCAGCTGCAGTCACCCATCCATTCACAAATACCGAGGCGAATTGATCTACAACAACGGTATTTTTGAGTTTGGGGAAATAACTGAGTCACACCTGGTCTGTCAACGTCCGACAGGGCCTCGAGTTGCAGTTGCAGCTTCGTCTAGAGCCAAAAGAAACGCGCAGGACCAGTCACGGCAAGCTTTCGGGAAGCACATGGACTGTCGTGCATGGCAAGCGTGTGGGCATTGCGCCGCCTGTCAGGTCTTGCGCCCACATCTTTTGCTCCCTTTCGCATTTTCCATGTTTTTACGAATTCCAATGAAGATGAGAGATGCCGAAAGCGCGATTGTAATTGGGGAATAATCACCCTCCGTTTATTCTTACTTTCTTCGGCAGTGTATGGCCAACGTCGCGCGTTCCCGTCAGACTAGATCAGGTGCTGTGCGAACCGTCACCAGAGTGTGAGAGTTTGGCAAAGGCGCCCAAACAGTGATTGAAACCGAACTAAACGGTCTGAATTAAGAAGGGACGTTAGGTTTGACAACCATGTTTGTTTATAGTAGGTAGATGTTGTGTCCTCGGCCGAAAGAGACAGATGCCTATCGCGCCTGGGGGAAAGATGTTCTCGCCTCTCTCCCCTCCCCCACGCGCGCAATACACCAAACGTTTGGTTTGCGCCGCCACTTGGGACGGAGGAGGGCAATCAAGGGCCGAGGATGGGGGATGCCAGAGATGGGCTGCTGCAAGCGCCAGGTGCACGGCGCATCGTGTCCCAACATCTTGGGACTGTGAGATGTCTGCATCGGACCTGATTGACCCAAATCGGAGCAGGCATGGGCATGGGCATGGGCATGGGCATGATGGTGGTGTTGTTGATGAGGGAGGTGGGCAGGAAAAGCCCAAAGAAATAAAAATAAAGAATCTGATATCTGGAAAATAAGAATTGAATAAAATAATAATATTATTATTGTTCCAGAGCTGAGGAGGTATCTATCTGACAAGCATGTCACCTTCACCACCATCCACACCCATCAACACCATCACCTCCGACCTGGGACGGCCCCACCGTTTTCCCCAGACGTCGGTTACGGGAATGGACAGGCTG